GAGAGAGAGAGAGAGAGAGAGAGAGAGAGAGAGAGAGAGAGAGAGAGAGAGATAGAGAGAGAGAGAACATTTATTAAGTACTTACTAGGTGCCCAAGTACAGTGCTAAGTAGTAGAGGTAAAAATACAAGCAAAAAGCTAGTTCCTAGCCTCAAAGATCTTACATTCTGATGGGCAATGAGAACATATAAAGGGGAGCTGGAAAGTTAAGGGAAGGACACCCTTAAGGAGCAAGGCTGCTTGTGACGAAAAGAAGTCTAAGAGTGAGATGATACCCTTTCTGTCTAGTCTCTTAAGCAATGTGAAATTCCCTGGACAAGGTAAATTCCTTGTGAAGCTGTAAATTCTCCTTGTCCAGTGATTGCCCAGCTGATGAAGGAAACAAGTCTCTCCTAAGTCCTTTATAAATATTGTCTCATGTGATCCTCCCACCATCCCCAGGGAGGTAGGTGCTGTTATTATTATTATCCCCATTTCACAGTTGAGGAAACTGAGACAGAAGTGAAGTGACTTGCCCAGAGTCACGCAGCTACTAAGCGTCTGAGGTCAGATTTGAACTCAGGTCTTCCTGAGCCCATATCCAGCTGTATCCACTGCTCCTCCCAGCTGCCAAGTCACTTAACCTGTGGGTGGCCCAGGGAGCTCTCTAAGCCTGGAGGCTGAAAAGGTGAGGTTACTCCTTCAGTGTAAGGTTTCTCTACCCACGGGTAGATATCACAGGCTCAGTCCTGCCTTTCCCCAAAGGCCCCCCCCCCAAAATTGTCTTGCCAAAACCAACTACGTTTTAGAGGAAGGGAGGCGAGGGGAAGGAGAGAGTCGCTGGCTGCTTCCTCCCCAGGAAAGACTTGGGAAACCCGAAACTCTCCCCCTCCCCACCATGTGACTTGGGTGGCTTGGACCCAAATGACTTCCCTGTTTATGTACCCTGACTCGTCTCAGGATGAGTCTGGAGTTCAAACAGCCCGAGGGAGAAGGGGCTGTGGCAGAGGCCACCTTCCTCCTCACCCCGCCTTGAGGACTGCCTGAGCCCTGGCAGGGACCCAGGCCCGAAGAGAAAAGCTAAGCTGTCCTGCGTCCCTCCTGCCCTCCCTCCCTCCCTTCCTCACCACCCCCAATTAAACTAGACTGAGTCAGCCACCAGAGGTTTCCAGCCCTTGTTCATTGACAGGCTCAGACTGGCTAACATAACGTGGCCAATAAAGAGAGGCTCTGAACAGGGATCAAACAGTAACCTGGCCTGATCAGAGACTTTTCTGTAGGCTGAGGGTCATGGGCAGTAAGAGAGAGGTTTCTGCAGACCCTCTGGGGAAGAACTGGAAATTTTTAGAAAAGTGGGGGTGGTGTGTACCCATCATCTGGGAATGACTGAATGAATTAGGGTAGCTGTGTGACCCTGGACAAGTCACTGAACCTGTCCCAGCCTCAGTTTCTTCATCTGTAAGATGGGGATTATAATAGCACCTGCCTCACCGGGTTGTTGGGAAGATCCGATGGGATAGTGTTTGTAAATCACTTTGCAAACTTTAGATGAATGTAATGGACGTAGATGACTGATGGACACTCAGTTAGGCATAGGGGTACGCTCCTGGCAGTTAACCAGGGAAGGATGTCAGGAAAAGGAAAGCAGATGTGTAAGGGGAGGCAGGAAAGGGGGAGCAAGTGTGTTGGGTACTTTACAAAACAATTCAGAGATGTAGGCACAAAACAGGGAACTTAACTTGCAACATTCAAAGATATGGGCACACTTACCAGTTGCGTGACCTCGGGCAAGTCACTTAACCCCATTGCCTAGCCAAAAAAAAAAAAAAAAAAAGAGCGAGACAAAGATATGGGCACAAACCATAGGGGCTAGTCAAGTACACAAAAAATAACAAGGTTTTCTTGTCAACAGATAGACCCCCCCCCCCCCCCCCTTACTGGGCAGATTTAGATTTAGGCAAGGCTCTCATTGTGGCTGAGCAGAAGTCAGTCTCATCACTATGTCTTCACAGAGAGGTGGTGGACCAGGGGTGCAGAATGAGATATACCCAGCTAATATGTTGTCGGGTTTTGCTTGACTGTATTTAAATTACAATGGGGGATGAATTAGTGGGTAGTGACTGAGATATGGGGGAAAAAACCAACAATAAAACATTTTAAAAAATACATTGAATTAAAAGTTCAGAAGGAGGTGCAATTTTATTACTACCTTGTTAAATTTAACGTGCTTTAAAAACAAAACTAAACTATAACAGAAGTTCACATATGATTGTTTTTGTTCTTTGGATGCTGAATGCTTGGAGTTGTTGATAATTATTAAGTTCAGAGGATGCTGAGTGAAGGGAGCAGAACCAGAACATTGTACATAGTAACAGCAACATTGTGAGATGATCAACTTTGATAGACTTAGCTCTTCTCAGCAATGCAGGGATCTAAGACAACTCCAAAAGACTCATGATGGAAAATGCTGTCCACATCCAGAGAAAGAACTATGGAATCTGAATGCAGATCGAAGCATTCTATTTTTTTTCTTTCTTTCTTGTGATTTTTTCCCTTTTGTTCTGATTCTTCTTTCACAACATGACTAATGTGGAAATATGTTTAATATGATTGTACATGTATTACCTATATCAGATTGCTTGCTGTCTTCGGGAAGGGGGAGGGGAGGGAGAAAAAAATTTGAAATTCAAAATCTCATAAAAATCAATGCTTAAAACTAAAAAAACTAAATAAATTTTATTAAAAATTTTTAAGTTCATAATGAAGAAAAAAACTGAAATTTAGACATTCCAGGGACCTGGGGTTTAAAAGGGCTTTTTCCTTTTAAAATCTTTCCCTCACCCAGGTGGGGGCTCCCTAGGGCACTTCTAGCCTTCTGTTTAGTCTCTCCTCAGGCTGGTGTTCCAGTTCCAACTGAGAAGTACTTATTAAGTGCCTACTGTGTTCAAGGCTCTGGGTTGGGCTGTGGAAATATATAGTTGGAGAAAAAAATTCCAGCCCTCAATTCCAACGGGAAGGGTGTACAAGATGTACATAGAGACGCATACCTACAGTCATTTGAGGGGGAGGAGAGCATTAACATCCTTGGAGGGTGACAACGATCAAGAAAGGTACCTGGAGCTGAGCCCTGAAGGATGCTATAGGATCATAATGATTGAAGGGGGACCACAGAGATGGAAACGTTCCATCTGCCAGTGCATTGGTTGGCCATTATGGCTAGAACAGAGTAGGTGAAATGTGCAATGATTAATGCGAAAATATGTTTAATAGGAATGTATATGTATAGCCTATATCAGATTGTGCACCATCTTGAGGAGGGTGGTGGGGAGGAAGGGGGAGAAAAATTTTAAACTCAAAAGCTTATGGAAGTGATTGTTAATAAATCAAAATGAATTAATTTAAAAAAAAATTTTTTTAAATGTGCAACGATGAGTAACGGGTAGCCAGACTCTGGAAGGCTATAAATGCCAAGCTGAGGACTTCCCACCGAGGCAGCAACGTGCTGCAGTGGACAGAGGTCTGGGCCTCAAGTTAGGAAGACCTGACTTCAAATGTGACCTCAGACCCTTATTTACTAGCTGTGTGACTGTGGACAAGTCATTTAACAAGTCTACCTCAGTTTCCTCATCTGTAAAATGAAGATAATAGTAGCACCAGCCTTCCAGGGTTGATGTGAGGATCAAATGAGATAATATTTGTAAGGCCCTTTGTAAACCTTAATTTGTTGTTATTGTCATTCAGTCGTTTCAGTCGCGTCCAACTTTTTGTGACCCCATTTGAGGCAAAGACACTGGAGCGGTTTTCCATTTCCTTCTCCAGCTCATTTGACAGATGAGGAAACTGAGGCAAACAGCCTTAAGTGATGTGCCCAAGGTCACACAGCTACTAAGTGTCTGAGGCCAGATTTTAACTCATCAGGAAGATGAGTCTTCCTGACTCAAGGCCCAGCACTCTATCCATGGTGCCACCTAGCTGACCCTAAATCTTAAATCATTGCATAGAAGTTGGCTATTATCATTTATCTTAGAGGCAACAGGACCTCTCTGTCTTCTGCCACCAAGCAATTCAGTGTAGACCCAAGGTCAACCTGGCCTGCTGGCCTTTTCCCAGAGGAATAACGATGGCATGATTTCTGTGCCCTGAGAAGCAGCTCAACATAGCAGAGAACATTAGACTTCCAAGTCAGGGGATTTAGATTCTAATCTGGTTCAGGCACTGACTAGCTGTGTGACCTTGGGCATGTAACTGGCCCTCTCTGGGCTTTACTATTTTCCTCCGTAAAATGAGGGCACTGCATTAGATAACCCAAGATTCTTTCCAGTGTTGAGTTTCTCTGGGTCCTGGAGATAGGACCTCCCAGCTCAGGTCTGGTTGTCTGTGTCTGTTCTGTCCATCTTGGCCGATGTCAACACTGGCATTGTCGAGATGGCTTTTTTCTCCTCTGGTTTCGGGGAGGCTGAGCTCTGTGAATGACCCTGACTCCCCCCCAGACTCCATCCACTTTGATCGCCCCATTCTGGAGGGCCTGCTGGATGTCGTGGGCAAGGGTCTCGAAGGCCAGAGCCACATTACTGTTGGTCTTGGCTGAGGTCTCCAGGAAAGACGTGCCCAAAACCGCAGCTAAATTTTCTGCTTCCTGGGTTGACACCTGCCGCGCCTGCTGCAGGTCACTCTTGTGGCCAACCAACAGGTACAGAACCTTGTCCGGGACCTGCATGGATGCCACCTGCTGGTACCAGTCTTCTATGTGGTCAAAGGACGTCCTATTGGTCACATCAAAGACCAGCAGAACACCCACCGTATTCCGGTAGAAGGATCGAGTTATGCTCCTGCAAGTTGGGGGGAGGGAAGAGTCAGAGGCAGGTGAGGCCCGGTACCCTGGATCTACTATCAAAGGAGAAAAGAAAACTCCTACGCTAAGGTTTATGTTTCAAGGAGGCAGTCCTCTGAAAGGCCCGCGATGAAAATCTTTTCTCCCTGCTGGCATTGTGAGACCTGGACTTCCAAGGATCTAGCTAACAGATGCAGAGGCCTCCCCAAAATACACCGACCCCCAGCTCCTCCCAAACTGGGCCCCTTTGCCTACAGTCTCTAGTCACCCCCTCATCTTTCACAGCTCCCCTAAACCCACACCCATACATTCGGCTCATCTGCAAAGGAGCCGCAGCGATGATTCTCGGTGATCACCTCTAAGCGTAACGCGATCATAAGCGCCCAGACACAATTGAAAAGGATTGCAGAGGTCACCAAGGGACAGGATCGCTGGTGAAAACCTCCAAGGCGTCTTGCCCAATCCCCATTCTACAGATGAGGAGATTGAAAGGGAAGTGGTTTGCCCGAGGTCACACTGCTAATAGGCCCAAGAGACAGAACTGGAATCCAGGAACTCTGGCCGCAGATCCACGGCTGTTTCCCCTGTTTGCATGACCTTCTTCATAGGGTTGTAAGGTAAAATGAAAGCAGAGATTTTTTTTTGTCTTGTTTTTATATCTATATTACCAGCACCTAACACAGGGCAGGGAACATAGTGGGCACTTAATAAATGCCTATTGGTCTGTGAACAGGCATTTAAGGACCTAAAACACTATAGAAAAGCTTGATCATTCTTAATTTGGTCTCAAGTTACCTGGGCTTCACTTTTCTCATCTGTAAAATGGGGAGAGAGGACGTCTGAGGTCACATCCAGCTCTCTATCTAGAATCCACTCCCATCTCACCGCTCAGCGGCCACTTCCAACTTCCAGACCTCCCGTCATAGAGTTGGAGAAACAGAGGCTCAAGGCAGCTTGCCCAAGGACACATGGAAAAGCAGCGGCAGAATTCGAACTTCCCATTACCATTCCGACTGCTTTAGCAGCAAATGTCCTGGGTTAGAATGCAGCTCTGCCCCTCATTATCAGTGTGCCCTTAGACAAAAGTCACTTTCCCTCTCTGACACTTAAGATTTCCTAGCTGCAAAATGAGGGGCTTGGGGTAGGTGGTCCTTAGGGTCCCTTCCCACTCCAGTAGCGGCCCCCAACCCCGCCCTCACTCTATTCTCCAGCCCGTCTTTGCTCCCTCAGACCTGTAGCGTTCGGCGCCTGCCGTGTCCCACAGCTGCAGCTTGACCCTCGGACCCGAGGCCAGCTCCAGCATGCGGCAGTAGAACTCGACGCCCACGGTGGAGCTGGGGGGCTGATCATCCCAAAAGTCTCCCTCTGTGTAGCGAAGCAGCAGCGAAGTCTTGCCCACATCTGCGTCCCCAAGCAGCAAGATGCGGAACTGGAGCTGGCTGGACGCGAGCTGGTATTCCCCGGCCATCGGCAATCAGAGCAGTGCGGTGCTGCACTGCCAACGGGGCGGGCCGGAGGGGAGCCGCTGAGCCAGGGACCGACGGGGCGGGCCGGAGCGGAGAATCCTAAAGGCAGGGTGCTGGAGGAACCAGGGACCGACGGGGCGGGCCGGAGCGGAGCCTCCTGAAGGTGGGGTGCTGGAGGAACCTGGAGCTGCGAACGGAGCTGACCAGCGGTGGACGGGGCGGACCGGAGCAGAGCCTCAGAGGGTGGCTTCGGGAGGAACCCACGATAAGGGGGAGGAGGGTCGAGAGGAGCAGCTGAAGCCTGGCTGCCTGAGCCACCCGGGGCGAACCGAGGACAGCGAAGGGCGAGGGAAACCTCCCGGGGCAGCTGGAGTCAAGTGAGAGCTGAAGCTGAGACCCTCGAGTTTATGAGACCTCGGCCCCGCCCCAAGGCCCTCCCTCACCCCGGCCAGGCGTCCTCTCCTGCTCTCCTCCTCCCGGGTAATATTTCCCTGAGGGTTCTTGGAGATCGTACAATCCAACACAGTCATTTCACAGGTAGAGAATGAATCAACCAGTCAATCAACACGCATTTTATTAGGGTTCCCGGGCGATACAAACACCAAAATGACACAGTCCCTCCTCTCAGGAAAGCATCAGATGACCTCTGAGGTCCTTTCCAGATCTGTGAATGGAGGACCTTCTGACTAAGAGTGACCCGGGCTCCACCAGCCCAGGGGATACAAAGGACAAAATTGAACTATACCCCAGCCTCTAAGAGCTTAAAGAGGAAGGCAACATTTCTTAAATATTTACAAAATCCCTGTAAAATAGAAACCCGACTGATGTACAAACCTCTGCTGGCTGGACCACCCGCAGGAGGGGGAAACAACTCAAAACCTTCTGGTTTTTTCTGCCTTTCCCAGTCCCCCTTAGCGCTTGTGCCCGCCCTCTGTTAATTATCTCCAGTTGAGCCTGTATCTTATTTGTACAGAGCTATTTGCTTGTTGTCTCCCTCGTAGATTGTAAGCACCTTGAGAGGAGGGATTGACTTTTGCCTTTCTTTGTACCCCCAGTGCTTAGAATAGTGCCAGGCACATAGTAGGTGCTTAATAAATGCTTGTTGACTATTAGCTGCCAGGCATACCCAAGGTAATCCACCATGACCTAAGTGAAGGCCCTGGGGGTCCCTACCCTCAGTTGCTTCTTTTCAAAGCATTTAAAAACATTCTTCATGACCCTTTATTCTTTTCTTTTTCTGCAAGACTACCCCTTCCCTACCTCCCACCTCCCTTCTCTTCCTCACTCCATCTGGGAAAAAAAGAAAAACCAGATATTTGTAACAAATATGCATAATAACGAAAAACAGATTCCTACATTAGCCATGTCCAGAAATACATGTTTTATTCTACATTTGGAGTCCTTCACCCCTCTGTCAGGAAGTGGCTAGCGTGTTTCGTCGCTGGTCCTCTGAGATTGTGGCTGGTCAACTTTCTTAAATCTTTCAAAGTTGCCTTTCTTTACAATGTTATTATTAATGAATAAATATTCTTCTGGCTCTGCTCACTTCACTGTGAACAAATTAAAACTATTCCCTTCATCATTTTGATGGTATGCTTGGGTGCTTGTACTCAGACCCCAATTCCAAGACCATATTTCTCCCTAGCCTCAAAACACTGTTCCTGACAGTTTTCACCCCAGGACAAAGACCCCATCTCTGGCAATAACTCATGAGTGGGCCCTAGTGAGTTAAACTATCCCACTCTCTCTCCCTGTTACAAGAACAAGCTGACTTCTGTAGAATTTCCCTTGTGCTATCTTGTATCAACAAAGTTATCATGCACTGATTCCCACAGTTATTACATGCAATCCAGAGGTCAAGTTAAAGACATCGACTCCTGAAGCTATCTTGTTACAGACATAACAGGCCAAAAATACACCCCTTAGGAACCCTCTCACCCCTACCCCAGTTTCTAGTAGTAAATAATGCCTATGACCAAGGTTGTTTGTTATCATCTAATTAGCATACTTGGTACACAATCCACTACTTTTCCTATATAAGCTTTAGCATCATTCTTGTTAGGTGGCAGAGTTCCCTAGGAAGCTCTGCCCACCATTGCAAGTTCCCTAAGGAGCTCTGCCCACCATTGTAAGTTCCTTAAGGAGCTCTGCCCACCATGGCAGAATTCTTTAAGGGCTCTGCCTGCTGTATTATCTGTATACTAAACTTTTTGCTACATGACTGGAAGACTGCTTGAGTCCATAGATTCATTCCAGACGACCCTGTCCTGGACTTCAGTCTTTGAGAGGTCCCCGAACCTCCCAAAACTGCAACAATTTCTTATAGTACAATAATACTCCATTACATTCACATATCACAATGCATTCAGCCATTCCCCAATTGATGGGCAGCTCCTTAGTTTACTGTTCTTTGCCATTATAAAAAGAACTGATATAATTACTTTTGTACATTTGGATCCTTTTCCTTTTTTCTTTTATTTCTTTGAGGTAAAGGCCTAGTAGTGATACTGCTGGGTAAAAGAGTTTACACAGTTGAGTGACCATAGAGGCATTTCCTAGCTGCTTTCCAGGATGGCTGGACCAGTTCACAGTCACTCCAGCAGTGCGTTAGTGTGCCTGTTTTCCCACAGCCCCTCCAACATCTGTCATTTTCCTTTTTTGTCATCGTTGACAATCTAATAATGTGTGTGTGGAAACCTCAGAATTGTTTTCCTACACTTTTAAGTAATTATTTGTTGAGCTTACATTCCCACAAAACATCCTCACCCATAGCAGAAACCTAGCACGCAAGTCATTAATGTGTCTTGAATGATTGAGTGAATTAGATATTAAGTTTGTTTCTTCACATTTGACATTTAAGGAGCCTCATGGCTTGAACTGAGTGGGGATGGGGTGAGGAGAAGTAATATTTATAATAAACACAGAGAGATGCTTGCAGGGAAGATGCTGAAAGAAAGTTTGGATCTAATGTTCCCCCTTAAATCCTTCTAGCTATCATGTTAGACCTAGAAAGGATCTGAGAAATCAATCAATGATTATTTTAGATTATACAACACTGGTTTTCTTGCTGTTCCTCACTTTCCACTCCATCTCCTGACCTGATGCCTTTTCTCTGCTTGTCTCCCATGCCAGGAGTGGTCTCCCTCCTCTGCCTCCTGGCTGCCCTGGCTTCCTTCATGACTCAGCTCAAATCCTACCTTCTGCTGGAGGTCTTTCCACCTTCTTCTTAATGTTATCGTCCTCCTTTTGAGATAACTTTCCATTTACATTATATATGTTGTGTGTATATCTATATATCATGTGTGTTCATAATTGTTTGTATATTTCTTTCTTCATTAAGAAGTGAGCTCTTTGGGGCCAGGAACAGTTTTCTGCTATTTATTGAATCCCCATTACCTAGCACAATGCCGACACACAGTAGTGATGAGGATGGGATCTAGACCCCAGAAAGGAAAAACCCTGGACTTTCCCACATGGCCAAATCTCTGGTGTTCACCTGAGGCTATAATCCCATCAACTGGCCTTTCATTGTGGCTACACTCAATCTCCCCTCCCTTGTTTTACCTCCCTATGGCCCCTGGCCATTTCCCACACTTAATCCTAGCTAGGCTCCATTGTCCAGGTCCCAGGAGTTCTATTCACCCCAGTTTACTGGCCACTCCCATCCAGATCCTCCTTAGGCCCCTCCTGCCATTACCCCAAACTACTTGGCCACTCCTAGATCCCTCCCACAGGCTTTCTGTGTATCAGGTCCATCTTGTCTCTATTCAGATGCTGGGATTCTTATAATCTAACCACTGCTTAGATTCTTAAAATCTAGCCAACAGCTTACTAATGTTCAGACTCCTTAAGAGTCTGCCCAATATGATGGATGTTCTAATAAACCTTGTCTGTGGCTGAAAGAAGGCTTGGGTCGAATTCTTTCAGGCAGGACTCACATGTGGTGATTTTGGGGTCCCAGCATCAGTTTGACTGGATCTAAGCTAGGAGTACAAAGAATGTCCAAGGAGGCTGGAAAGGGAGGTTAAGCCCCAGGGATTTAGGGCTGTAAAAGCTATCAGAGGAGTTTCTATTTGCCCCTAAAGACAATAGGAAAATACTGAAGCTGGCTGAGTAGGGGAGTCACGTGGTCCCAGAGGCATTGAGTCAATAAGCATTTATTAAGCGCCTACTCCCCCAGATATGGTGCTTGGTGCTGGGGATACATATACGAAAAAAAATAGTCCCTGCCCTCAAGAAGCCTTAAGATGTGGAGGAGACAAAAATACAATAGGAAGCTGAAAAGCAGGGAGTAGGGAGCGGCAGAAGGTACCCCACCCAAGGGCTTGGTGGAGAAGTCACTCTGAGAAGCCCCGGAGTGGCGCAGTTGGGTGAGAAGTGAGATAGCAGAGCTGGGCTCTCCTGAAAGGAAGGTTTAGAGTTCCTGGCTCTATCCTCCAATCAAAGAGGCCGAGGATGGTGGTAAGGTAGAGTACTCTGACTGATGAGAATTTACAAGATAAAGAAATTATCCCAATAATGAGCTTCCTGGGGCATAGTGGAGAAAGTCCAGCAGAGAAAATTGTTTGGGAAGATTACTCCAGCCTCAGAGTAGGGGATGGCCTGAAGGAAGAGAGGCTGGAGGCAGGGAGACCAATTAGTCTGCCTCGGGGTATGTACCCTGTTATTTGCAAGCTGCCTCCCCTATTAGAATTTGAGTTCCCTGAGGGCAGAGATAAATTTTACCTTTCTTTGTATTACCTGGGTGTGTTGCAGGTGGTAAGTGCTTAATAAATGCTCGTTGAAAAATAACCAACCTGGGGAATGGCTGAACAAGTTGTGGCACGTGAATGTAATGAAATACTGTTGTGCTATAAAAAATGATGAGCAGGCAGACTTCAGAAAAACGTGGAAAGACTTGTATGGACTGATGCTGAGTGAAGTGAGCAGAACTAGGAGAACATTGTACACAGTAACAGCCACGATGTGCGATGACTAATAGTGAAAGACTTAACCCTTGCAGCAATGCAAAGATCTAAGACATCTCCAAAGATCTCAGAATGGAAAATGCTATCCACATCCAGAGAAAGAACTATGGAGTTTGAATGCAGATCGAAGCATACTGTTGCTGTGTACAATGTTCTCCTGGTTCTGCCCACTTCTCTCAGCATCAGTCCATACAAGTCTTTCCAGGTTTTTCTGAAGTCTGTCTGCTCATCATTTCTTATAGCACAATCAGACAATAGTTCTTAAACAGGTTGTTAAAATTTAGCTTTTGGGGCAGCTAGATGGCACAGTGAATAGAGCACCGGCTCTGGATTTAGGAGGACCTGAGTTCAAATCCGGTCTCAGAAACATAACACTTACTAGCTGTGTGACCCTGGGTAAGTCACTTAACCCCATTGCCTAGCGCCCCCCCCCAAAAATTTTTTTTGACTTTTCAGGAGGGAGAATCCTCTCTTTCATTAAAAATTCATCCCATTCCCCCCCCCCCCCCCATAGGGTCATTACTCAATTTTGCTGGGTAACTTATTCTTGGCTGTAAGCCTATGTCCTCTGCCTTTCCCTACTTTTTTATAGTGGTAACTGTATATGTGATCATATGTGATCCTGACTGGGGCTCCTTGATACTTAATTCTTTCTTTCTGGCTGCTTGCAGTATTTTTTCTTTGATATGGAAGCTCTGGATTTTGACTATGATGTTCCTGGGAGTTTTCATTTTGGGGTTTCTTACAGAAAGTGACTGATGGATTCCTTTTATTTCCACTCTACCCTCTTGTTCTAAAAGATTTGGGCAGTTTCCTTTTAAGATTTCTTGAAAACTGCTGGGAATACTGGAAAACAGTATGGCAGAAACTAGGTGTAGACCAACATCTCACATCATATGCCAAGATAAGGTCAAAATGGGCACATGATTTACAAATAAAGGGTGATACCATAAGCGAATTAGGAGAGCATGGAATAGTGTATCTGTCAGATCAATAGATGAGGGAAGAATTTAGGACCAAACAAGACAGAGTATTGCAAAATGCAAATAGATAATTTTGATCATATAAAATTAAAGACTTTTTGCAAATAAAACCAGTGCAAACAAATTAAAAGGAAAGCAGAAAACTGTGGGAAAAATTTTTGCAACAAGTATCTCTGATAAAGGCCACATTTCTCAACCATATAGAGAACTGAGTCAAATTCATAAAAATACAAGTCATTCTCCAGTTGATATGGTCAAAGGATATGAACAGGCAGTTTTCAAAGAAGTCAAAGGTAACTATAGTCGTGAAAAAATGCTCTAAATCATTATTGATTAGAGAAATGCAAATTAAAACAACTCTGAGGTATCCCTTCACACCTATCAGATTGGCTAATATGACAAAAAAGGAAAATGATAAATGTTGAAGGGGATGTGGGAAAACTGGGCCACTAATGCACAGTTGGTGGAGTTGTAAACTGATACAACTTCTGGAGAGAAATTTGGAACTCTGCTCAAAGGGCTAAAAAACTGTGATACCCTTTGATCCTACTGCCACTGCTAAGTCTGTATCTCAAAGAGATAAAAAAAAGGGAGGGGGGAAGGACCTGTATGTACAAAAATATTTATAGCAGCTTTTTTTGTGTGGTGGCTAAGAATTGGAAATTGAGGGCATGCCCATCAATTGGGGAATGGCTGAACAAGCTGTGCTATCAGATTGTGATGGAATATTATTGTGATATAAGGAATGACAAGCAGGATAATTTCAGAACTGTCTGGAAAGATTTATATGAACTGATGGAAAATGAAGTGAGCAGAACCAAGAGAATGTACACAGTAACAGCAATACTGTACAATGAAGAATTGCATATGACTTAGCTATTCTCAGCAATACAATGATCCAAGACAATCCCAAAGGACTCATGGTGTCATACTAACTGCCTCCAGATAAAGAACTGATATTGTCTGAATGCAGGCTGAAGCATATTATTTTTCACTTTTCTTTTTTTCTTTTTCCCTCTTTCTTTCACTTTTTTTTTTTTTTGGAGTCTTCTTGCACAAAATGACCAATAAGGAAATGTTTTACACGATTGTACTTGTATAATCTATATTGGACTGCTTATTGTCTCAGGGAGGGGGGAGGGGAGAGAGGGATAGAATTTGGAACTGCTTTGTTCCTGGGGTCCAAGTCACCAGGAAGTTGCTTGTATCTGAACTTGCTCCCCACTTATCCAGTAGAGTCAACCTAGGGCCTGGGACCACGTCTCCCCCCAGAAGAAGAGGTTTAAGTCCCCTCGTCAGTCCACCCTGGATCTGTGGCCCAGAAATAGCTAATGGTCGACAAAGCTGTCAGTTGGTGGCAATTTGCGGTGCCCCAGTACACAGGTCTCAGGGTACCCCAGTATGGGTCTAACACCTTCCCTTTCCCTGGTGCCCAGCTTGTCCCAGCATATGAAGTCCTCTAGGCTAGATCACATCACTAGCGTTTGCACACCTCCCTATCTGGCCACTAGGGGGCACAGTGTACAGCGCACAGGGCTCGGAATCAGGAAGATGATCTTCCTGTGGGACCTAGGTAAGTCACTTAACCCAGCTTTTTAGAGGTTTTTTTGTTTGTTTTTGTTTTTGTTTTCTTTGTTTGTTTGTTTTGGTGGTGAAATTAGGTTTCCCCAGGGTGATGGTGGATTGAATGAATGAATAAAAAAGCATTACTCAATTACCACGTGTCAGGCAGCTTGCTAAACTTTGGTAATAGAAAAAGCAAAAGTAAAGACCATTTCTGCCCACAGGCAGCTTACATGCTAATAGGGGAATGCTCCGCATATTTGGGAGTGGTGGCCAAGGATCTCTGTTTCATCCTGGGAATCACCGGGATGGTGAGTGGAGCCTTACAGGGACTGACAGACTTGGGGCAGGGGTGGGGGTTGAGTTGGTTATTGTTCCCAGATCTAGAAGTGGAAATCAGAGTTGGGGTGGAGAATATGGGCGCCTGGAAGACTAGGGAGGTGATAAATGGAGGAACAGCAAGGTGGGGGGTCTAGATTAAGTCAAATCAATGAACATTTATTAAGCGCTTATTAAGTTCCAGGGATACAAAGAAAAGCAAAAATAGTTCCTGCCCTCAAGGAGCTTATGCTTTATTGGGGTAGACGTCATGAAAGTAACATACAAGATTACACAGAGTTAATCACCGAGGTGATGTCCTAGGGAAGCCTGTGAGCTGTGGGGGTGGGGGGATGGGCTGGGGAAGGGGAGGACGTCAGGAAAGGCTTCTTACAGAAGATGAGATTTGAAGGAAGCCAGGAGGCAGAGAGACTAGTGCAAAGGCAGAGTCGGGGAGATGAGTGTTTCTTTCAGGAACAGCAAAGAATCTGGTTGCAAAGGGTGACTTGAGTGGAGTTCGGAGTCGGGATGGAGTTTTTCAGGCTCTGGAGAGAAGGATAGTATGCTAGGTGATGGGACAAGGGGAGGAATATAGTGGGAGGCAGGCAAGACTGAATGTTCCCTGCAGCACAGTAATAGGCGGGGGGGGGGGGGGGGGGTGTAAGACGCATACCTTAAAAATGTCAGAGCGATGTTTTAGCAAAGGTAGGCAGCCTGGGTCTACAAACCCCCCACAACATCCAGTGACACACATAGCGATTTAAGATTTTAAAAACATTTGACATGGATTATTTCAATATTATCCTCACTTTACAGATGAAGAAACTGAGGATCAAAGAGCTGAAGCGACTTGTCTAGGGTGGCACAGAACCTTAAGGTTTGAAATGGGGCTTGAAATAGACAAAAGCGCAAGTTCAACGCGTGCCAAAAGTGCTGTACCCAGAAGTCCCGGAAGTTACATCACGCGTATGCGCAGTGGATCAGAACTACAATTCCCAGGAGCTCTGAGGCGTCGCGTGCCCTGACAACAGCCAATCATCAAGCGGCACAGGACGACATGAGGGGGGGCGGGGCCTGTGGGTATATAAAGGATTTCCCGAGAGGTGTTTGTCCTTTCGCTACACGATGCCAGGTGGTGCCTTTGTGTCCATCATCCAGTTTCTGCACCCTGACAGAGGAACCTTCCGGCCTGATGGCCTGGCTAGGGCTCCTCCAGGTGCCGGATGGAAAATGGTTGGCTAGAAGAGTCGCCTCCCTGGTTGCGGAGAGCGTGGCCGAGGCCTGCGCGGGGGTGATGCACACTGGGCATGCGCGATGAGGGAGCAGCCGGGCGCCGCCGAAACGTTTTCCGTACGTGCACACGCACGTGACCCGGACTCTGTGTCCCGGCCGAACGGGGAGGGGGCTTCCTTCGGGCCTGGAGAAGTGAGTAGGCCTCTGCCGCAGGACGGGCGAGGGTTAGACTGAGCCGCGGCTGCGGCTGCGACTGCTCCGCCTGGGCGCCGCCGGTGGGGCTTGGAGCAGGGAGGGGCCTCTTCATAGAGTGGAAGGAGCCTTGGATTTGGAGTCTGGGTCCGGGTTCAAGTCTTGTCTCTGCGCATCGCCCGCGTGTGACCTTGGGCAAGTTTACTAAACCTCTAGGGGCCTCAGTTCCTTCTCCCGTAAAATGAAGCGGTTGGATCAGCTAACTTGTGGTCCCTTCCAGCTCTGAACGCTTTGAAAAAGGAAGGTCAGGTTTGGGGTCCCCTCCCCTAACAGAGTCATGGCTGACCAAAGGCAAATCGCGTTCTGCTGGGCCTCGAGACACATTTGTGAAGTGATTCGAGCTCTAAGGTGCCTTGAGTTCAGTAAACGTTTGGGAAGCGCCTACTATGTGCCGGGCACTGTGCTGAGCTTCCAGCTTTAAAGCCATGGGACCATCGATGACAAAGGGGAGCGGGAAGGAGCCTTTACGTGTCATTTTTGGGGTCTCCTCATCCCCCCAATTTCAGCATAATTCTGAGCTCTAGAGAAGGAAAGGGATCTTAGCCCATCTCTCTCCTCCCAGGCTCCTGGTGTCTGGGCCAGGGAGCTTCATTTCTGGTCCTCCTTTGGCTTGGTGGGGGGAGGGGAGAGGAGGACTGCCCAGGCCAGGTCTGGGCCTCCTAGCAAGATGAGGTCCAGAGCTGGGTTCTCATTCCTGCCTCTGTAAAATTAGGTCACACTATGACTTCTCAGGACCTTGCCAGCACTGCTTCTTAGCATCCTGATTGGAGAAGGGAACAGTGAGAGGGGGTGCCCTTGAACCCAGGCCTCTTTGGGGTAGCTAACTAGGGCTGATAGGGGTGCCATCACCCCAGGAAACTTGTATACCTATTAGCAGATGCTGTAGAAATGGGGCTGTAGAAAGAGGGGGAAGGCCAGCCTGAGGAACCCTTACCACCAAAGGGCTTTTGTTGGAAGGGGATTCAGCCTCTGCTGATCCACTGTCCTGTGGCCGTGAGAGTGCCCGCTGGTCTGAGGCCAGACCTCCCCCTCCTGCCTCTGCAGCTGCAGGCCCTTATCGAAGCTGCTGCAGTTCTTCCTATAGCTGTTGCAGTCAAAAAGGAGCCCAGAGTGACAGTTTCCCGACGGTCGTTGTTCTATTTATCTCTGTGGTAGAATAACAACATTATGGGAAAAGACAGAAGCTGCCTGTGCTACCTGAACTCACCCGTTGGTTCAGGGGTATATTGTCCATCCTGACAGAGTAGCAGCTTTGGTGCAGATGAGGTTAGCTTTAACAAGGTCTTGGAGGGTGGAAAGCATTTTGTGTACATTGTTTTCTCTGAAGATGACAGCAGTGAACTGTGAAATGCCTGCTTCAGGCATATTAGCCCTATCTTCCATATCAGGAAACAGAAGGGGGGCAGGTCAAGTGACTTGACCTTTTGAGTCCAGCTCTTTATCCACAGAGCATAGGGGCTGGTGGTGCTAGTATTGGAAACCCCTGTATTGAATTTATTTTCACTCAGATTGTATTTTCACCTCTTCCAGGAACACTCGGTACTGACCACTAGCTAAAGAAGAGGTGATAATCTGATTGGCCTGTGCTCCCTTAGCAGGTGAGTGGAATGGGTGAGAGGTTAGTTATCAAAGCCTTTTAATTTGTGAGTGGTGGGTAGGGTTCAGAAACCTGACTTACCAGCAAGCATTTGAGACAGGCACTGAAGATAGATTTACTTCACGGAGGAGACCTGCAGTTTGTACCCACAATAAATAGAAGATTATTTGTACAAAACAGACGTGACCTGGACTAGGTCTGGCTCCCTTCTGGGCTAATGAGGACCAGTTACTCATGGTATAGCTCATGTTTCTTCCCCTGAATGTGGTAACGGGCTCCCCAGCAAGTGTGCTGGCACAGTGCACTCATGGATTCCTGTCCATGAACAGATAAAACAAACCTGGCTTAAATGAGCTGGGTTTACCATCTGAATAAAGAATATCTCACCAGCATGTCTCATCAAGGGCTGTGGCTTGAAGTAGCCACAGGGTCTCCAACTGCATGCGAGAACATGCTGGAAAGACTTTGACAGCGCGGGTCACCAAGTACCTGTAGCTGCCACTCAGCTTTCCTATATTCACAAACGCACACAAAGGTACAAATGTGGGGGAACTTAACTGGAAGTCATTCTGTCTCCTGGGGCTGGTTCCACTCACTGCAGTGGCTTTGGTTCTCTTGCTGTCTGGGCTTGAAAGGTTCAAGGATCAAGTCTGGTGCTTTAAGTTTGGGTTTAGAGCATTCAGGTTATCGTTTTTTTAAACCTTAGTGCCGAGAAGCAAGTCATGAGCGCATCTGGCCAAGGATACCTGCTTGCTTTCTGCTGGATCAGGTTTGATCAGGTGAGTCCCAAGTCACTGGGGAGCCAGTTGTCTGCTGAGGCTTCGTCCTAATGTGATCCCCCAGCGCATGGCCTCTGTCATGATGTGGGGTCAGCCTGCAGGTCCCTTGGATTCTGCCAAAGTTGGTCGCCCTGTGACTGGTCAAGGATGAATCTCAATCTGGTAGACATGACTTGGATGACACTTGCGGATATGGGACTGAGACCAGGCGCAAGCACCATTACCCACGAGGCTGGGTCCAGTTCAGAGCTTACTGATTGTTTATCCTTTTTTCCCCCACAGAAGCCTGCCTGCTTGACCTTTACAACGAGATGGTGATGGTGTATGATTCATGTTTCTTTTTGATAAAATGTGTGCTGACTTCTTTCAGGAAAGGCTGAATCTTGTATGTAAATTCATACTGGTTTTTCTGTTACATGAAGGGACACACTGGGAGAAGCCCAATAATTTTTTTATCAATAAACAATAGAAAAACTGAATATCTGTGTGATTAGTTTTTGTCTGAAAACTTTTGGAAACTGAAGTATTTCAGTGAAGCCAACAACCTTATGAATGGAGGTGATTATAGGCTTGTCTTTACCCAAATACTGTAAGCTCATTAGAAAGAGGCACACAATGTTGCAGGGCTCTTTGGAGCCTGTTGGGGAGCCCCTCCTGAATTGGGGAAATGCTCCCTGAACAAATAAAACACCTGATAGTTACCTCACAAGGAGATGACTGTAGTCCCCACAAAGTTAACCTTGTCAGTTACTCAAAAATCCAAAGAGCTTCACCCATCAGTTAAAATTGTTGACCTATTTCTTACTACTATCCTTTCCCCCTAGGAAAGCCGAGGACCAGCCATTTTAAGGCTGAGATTCCAATCCTTCAGCTCCTAGTAAGTGGCTGGACTTTTGACTTTTCTGAGGTAGGGCTTCAGGCTGGCCATAAGGACCCTCCTTTTGTAGGGAAGGGGGAGCCCATCTCCCAAAGTCCCATTCCTATAGGAAGACTGAAAGGCGTCATTTCTTCCCTTCGGTGTCAGTTGGAGTGTATTTGCTATTTGAGCAAATATTATTAAAATTTTATAAATTACATTTCAAAAAGGTTAAAAGTTTCCAATGTTCCTCCTGGCCCTCCTCTTCCTATATAGTCCTTGCAGAGGTGCTGAGCTGTGAGCTCAGCTGAGCTACATCACAGGGGGGATCTCTGATGAGACAGTGTCCAAAGGCTGCCAGTGACAGTTCATCATAGCATCATAGAGCTCCTCACTCTGCTCCATGAACTCTTTGTTGGCTTCATTCACATCCAGCTGAGGTGTCGGGTCTGGATGGTTACAGAGGGAGAAGAGAGGGTTAGTAGGGGACCGTGTGTTGTCTACCTGTCTCCCTGGAAGCTAAGGCAGGCCTAATATTTCCTTACCTAGTAGTCAGAAAGGTTCTTGGCCCGGAGTAGGGGGAGGGAACAAGTATTTATTAGGCACCTACTGAAATAGGTACTATCATGATTCTCATTCTACAGTTGAAAAAACTAAGGCAGTCAGATTAAGTGCCTTGCCCAGGGTCACACAGCTAGTGCCTGAGGCTGGATTTGAATTCTGGTCTTCCCAACCCCATGCTCTCTGTTCACTGCACCAGCCCTTTACCTAGGTTGGGACACCATTGTTAATGACTAATAATGAGAATTCGTAAGTTGAAGCACATACAAATAATAAGCAACTTTTTTTTTGTGAGGCACTTGGGGTTAAGTGACTTGCCCAGGGTCACACAGGTAGTAAGTGTCAAGTGTCTGAGGCCGGAATTTGAACTCAGGTTCTCCTAACTCCAGGGCCAGTGCTCTATCCACTGTGCCACCAAGCTGCCCCAGCAACTTTTTAAAGTTTAAAAAAAAAAAGCAGTACACAGTAAGCAGTATCATATGAAGAAAAGTTAAGTAGGAATGAAAGGACCAAGAATCAAGATACAGAGGAAGGGGGACTGAGAACTAATCAGGAATACTTGAGAGACAGCCAACTGGGCTGGACCCGTGATTTCACTGGCAAGAGCATCCCCCAGTGCTGGAAACGCCCACCAATGCAGTTCCACCCTTCTCTACACCTTGACAGCTGTAAGAGAGTTGCCAGGGCACTGAGGGGTTAAGGCAGGAAGTCTGGACTCCAGGTTCTTCCTGATGAGCCTCCCAGTGGGCAGCACTCTGTCCCTCCAGAAATTACTGTATGTTTATTTCTCTCCTCAAGGGCAGGGCCAATAATACACCTGGCACACTGTGTATATTTAGTATTAGTTGATTCAAATCTAATTTTCTCCTATTTCCCTTTATCAAACCAGCAAAGGCAGGCATGTAGGTGTGTACTCTATGGCTTGAAAATCAAGTTTTGGCACACCTCCATATCTCTCTGACTATATTTCCCAAAGCACTTTCTAATTCAAAATTATACACATGTAACACTGTGGGGTTTAAAGTAGTGTGCCTACTGTTCAGGACAGTGGGGTGGAAAAACACAAAAAGTCTTTCTAAGAAACATGTTCCTAACAATTATGAAAGACTTAAGAACTCGGATCAAGCATGACTGGACAGCACCCATGGTGAAGACGATGCCTGCCTCCTGAGACAGGAGAAAAGGTGCAAAATGGAAGGCACATTTGTGGACGTGGCCAATATGGGAGTTTGTTTTGCCAGACTGCTTACTTGTGACGGGGGTTCTTTTTCCTGTGTATGTGTGCGCACGCATCTGTGTCTAAGTTTGATAATTGAAATAGATAAGATTTAATTAGAAAAAGAAATGTGTTCATGAAACTTTTAAAAAAGTTAGTAAATCAGGAGAAGACATGTATGATCTGATGCAGAATAAAGAGCAGAACCAGGAGAATGATACATACACATGACTACAATAATATTAAGTAAAACAACACTAAAAGAAAGCTCAAGACTGAGTAACTATAATTGACAGAATCCTGATAAAGCTGCCCCTAGTCCCAACATTCTAACTTCCTTATGGGCCCCCCAAACAGCAGGCATGCACTGATTTAACCACACCTCAGGCCCCCAGACTCAATAGAGCCCACTGCCCCCAGACCCAATTCACATATTTGAACAGGTGTATCCTTGTACTCAACCACAATCACACCGTCCATTTAGCCCAAGACAGGACCACGATACTTAACTATCCATCTTGACCAGACAGGACCACAATAGCTAGCCAATCGGAAAGCAGCATGACCAGGATGTTTGACCACTGAACCATAGAAGGAATCCCTCCCATTACCCAATCCCTTAACAAACTCCTCCTGCCTTTCTAATACTCATAATTTCTGTTGTGCAATCAGCATCATCACGCTATAAATTTGCCTGTGAGGTCTCACTAAGTTGCTGGTTCCTCTTAGAACCTAGCCCACTTCTGAGGGGCATCAATTCTCAATAAATGCCTATACTTAGATGAGAGGCAGTCTGACTCTGAATTCTTTGGGATGGTGATGCCACAACATACCATGAAACCGCAACATGATGACCATTCTCTGACCATCCCCCATGATGGGGAGGGGGGCCACCTCAGAGGAATGCTGCGCACAGTCAGCCCCTGTCACTGTTTGGAGATCTCTGGTCATATTTTTGCTAGAGCTGTCTGGGGCACACATCTCTAATGGTCAGATGGGTGGGCAGAGGCCTTGGGGAACCTGGAGAGTGTGAGTTTGGCCTTCTCGGGCCCCAGCCAGCAGCAGAGTGAGACCTTGAAACACTGTAGGCATTCTTAGCTCTCAGGCTTTATGGCCAACACCAGGAAAGTAAAATTCTCCAAGGTTCCAGGGTCCCCAGCTGCTCCATTCCCTTAGCTAGACACTACTGTGGTAGCACAGTCCAGAAATGAGAACTGGGGCCGAGGAGTCAGGAAACCTGGGTTCAAATTCTGACTCTCCACTAGACTTTTAACTTGGCTTTGGAGAACAGAAAAGTAGAATGATGGGGCTGAGGTGGTAGCAGAGCCAGAGCCTCTAAGGGCCTCGGCTGGGGAAAGGCAAGCATCTCAGAGTGGGAAAGAAGCATCTTACCTTCCAATGCATCGTCACCAACTTCTTCATATGTCTGTCAAAGGGAGAGGGGAGAGGCACATGAGGGCCCCCAGAAATCCACAAACACTGCTAAAGAAGGCTGCTCTCTAGCATGGGGGGCCCTTCGGGACACTGGATCCTGTCCCCACCACTATTTCTTTTGAAAATGTCAACTCCAATTGTATTATAGAAACTTTTGAACACATTTATGTTGCCAATGAAAAGGAAATGGAGACAACCACTGAATACAGAGGGTGTCCCCCAGAAGTCATATGTGATCACCAGGAAGAGAAAAAGATGGCCCTTTCTCACCGCTCCCTAAGTTTATCCTGAACCATTTTTTCCTAAATACCCTCTTTAAGGGGATCTCCCTCCCTCCACTGTGTGACCATTTGCTTCCCCATGGAGCTCTCCCTGTCCTTCCACCAGACGCAGGGCCGGTATGATCCATCCTGCTCCCTCTCTGGTTTCCTTCCTTCCCTCCTCCTCCCCGCCCAGCCAGGTGCTCTGGGTGTACCTGCATGGTGCTCTGGGTGTAGCCATACTGGGGGTAGCTGTAGCTGTAGCTGCCGGTGTTCTGGTCATAACCCCACTGTGCGTAGTAGTTCTGGTACTGCTGATAATACTGGTTGAGACTATAGCTGTACATCTGGCTGTACTCCATGGGTTTCACTCTGTTCCTTAGGGCACAGGGAATGGACAAAGGAAAGCAGACATGTCCGTCACCATGACCCCCTGCTCGAAGCCCCAGCCAGCCTGAGGTAATCAATCCCAGCGAGCTGCAGGCCGGCACAGGGACTGGCTTGACCTCCTTCCTAAGGTCACTGACCAGGGAATCCTAGACTGAGAACCAGAAGGGCTCTCTAAGCTCATCTAGGCCAACCCTTTCATTCTTCAGATGAAGGATCTGAGATCTGGAGGGCTGAGGAGCCTTGCCCAAGGTCACCCAGTGGTAAGTGCATGCCACCCTGAACTCTATCCACCACCTGAGACCGGGGGAGATCCAGAAGGCCAAAAGCCTTCCAGAGCCCTGCCTACAAACCCCCGGTAGGGAGGAGAGGGAAAGGAAGAGGGGATGGGATCCAGCCAAGATCAGTGTCCCTTGACGAGCTAACCAGCCAAGCCACATTCCTCCTCCTTCACAGACACAGGCTCAGGAAGCCACCACCAATCTGCGGTTGGTTTTGAAGAGTGAGGGTCTAGTATTCATACAGCCTTGAATAGAGGAAGGCACTCCTCTTGGAGCAGTGAAGTCGGAAGGGGAAACCCTTGCAGCCAGTCAGTGGGGATGGGGTATAGCAGAACGAAGGTCAATTTTGGCTTTGCAGGGCCCGGGTTCAAATCTGGGCTCTGGCACTTACTACCTGGGTGACATCGGGGCCTGTTGCCTCATTATCAAAAGAGGGGCTTGTTGGTCTAAATGACCTTGGAGGTTCCATCCAGCTCTCATTTCCCTCGTCGCTGAGAGCTAACCAAAGAGATGCAGAATCCTGGGGCAAGAATGTTCTGGTTCCCTCCCCATCCCCCGCCCAGGCCCGGGACTTACGCCTTGGGGATAGCCACGCTCAGGCGCACTGGCTTTGAACCCAGCCCCACTGCACCTTGGCACTCAGTCAGGGCCCGCTTCTGTTCCAGCTCGTCCGTGAATTTCACGAAGCCATAACCCCTGAAGAAAGAAGCATCAGTTCAGTCCCAGGTGGCCGCACTGGGCCGTGCTCGGGCCCTCCTAGGCAAGTGGGCAGGGCTGGCAAAACCACAGAGGATTCCTAAGCTGGGACTTGGAGGAACTCAGAATTTTATTTCAAGCCATAATGCTTTGCCTCCTCACCTGGCCCTCCCCAGCCAGCTGGCCACCTATGGACATCCCTCTGTTCATGCTGCCACGCTGCTCTCCCCTGGAATGGCCTCTGCCCACACTCCTAGCCAAGTTCTCCCCAACCTTCACAGATTCCCGAGGAGCCATCCCGGCGCTTCCCCCTGACCTCAGAGCCCTAGTAAGCCGGACCTCTCGCTGGGCATGCATCCCAGGTTGCCTGGTGACGTTCCCTGACCCTGGTCCGGCATCCATTTAACCATTTCAAATGTCTTTGCTTCTCTGTATTCCCATGAGGCCTAACACAGGATGAGGTGCTCGAATTCTCACTGAATAAACGAATGAGGAGCTAGGGAAACACTTGCTATTCCAGAACAGTGTTCTAGAAAAAAAAATATCCTTCTAGAAATGTTTTCTGTGGCCACCAACACCAAATCAAATGCAGCCTTGAACCTGAGCCTGTGGGGAAATCTCTAACACACCAGAACCAACTGCTCCCAAGTGAAAATTTCCTTACGGAGACTAGGGTTGAAGCCGGGCACATATGCCTGCATGACAGCCCTTTGTGCAGACAGGCACAAAGACCTAGTGGACTCTCTCAGGGGGCTCCGTCCAAGATCTGGAAGCCCCCCCAAAATGGAGGACCCCCATGGGGAACGGCAAGGGCAGCTCTAAGGGAGTGTGGGTCACCTCTGTGAAGATGTAAGCCCTGATGCTTTAGGGCGCACCCTTGCATCCTTCTTGCCCAAAGAGCCAGTGCCCTGTTATCCCCGCTTTGGCTGTGACCAGCCAGGGCAGGGAAGACGTTCAAAGTGAAGGGGTGTTTGAGGTGCTCAAGAATTCCGAAGCCCAACATGCACTGTGTGAACAAGGCTGACCTTCTCTCTCTCCAGCACTTTAACACAAGCTTGCTTTTAAACCTACTCCAGAATTATCCCCCTAACACAACTGTGGTCTAATATCACCTTCTGAAAAGGAAACTGAGGCCCAGAATGGGTAAATGACAGTTCAGGAAAAACTGAGATGCAGCAGCACAGTATGCTGGGCAGGGAAGAAAACTTAAAGAGTTTCCTTATTTTACTTTTTTTTTTTTTTAAGCCAATTGGGATTAAGTGACTTGTCCAGGGTCACACAGCTAGGAGTTTCTTTATTTTAAAGATAAGGGAACAGAGAGCTAGAGGGAAGACATGAGCACCCTCTTGGAGCGGCCTTCATGGTCTGGTGGGGTTGGCCGTGGGAGATGAAGGGGGACAAGGCAGTAATGACAAAGGCCAACCACCCTGGACTGGGACCAAGAAACCAGGACTCTGGGCTGGTTGGAGCCTGCTAGTTCATTGTGTGACCCTGAGGAAGTCACTTTCCCTCTTCCACCTCTAAAATGAAGGCCTTAGACTAGACAACCTTGAGGTCCCCTCCCAACTCTGACATCCTGTGTTCTAAGGACCCTCCCAGCTCTGACATCCTGTGTTCTAAGGACCCTCCCAGCTCTGACATCCTGTGTTCTAAGGACCCTCCCAGCTCTGACATCCTGTGCTCTAAGGACCCTCCCAGCTCTGACATTCTTTGTTCTAAAGACCCTCCCAGCCCTGACATCCTGTGCTCTAAGGACCCTCCCAGCTCTGACATTCTCTGTTCTAAAGGCCCTCCCAGCTCTGACATCCTGTGTTCTAAGGCCCCTCCCAGCTCTGACATTCTGTGTTCTAAGGTCCTCCCAGCTCTGACATCCTGTGTTCTAAGGTCCTCCCAGCTCTGACATCCTGTGTTCTAAGGTCCTCCCAGCTCTCACATTCTGTGTTCTAAGGCCCCTCCCAGCTCTGACATCTTGTGTTCTAAGGGCCCTCCCCGTTCTGACATTCTCTGTTCTAAAGGCATCCTGTGTTCTAAGGACCCTCCCAGTTCTGACATCCTGTGTTCTAAGGACCCTCCCAGCTCTGACATCCTGTGTTCTAAGGACCCTCCCAGCTCTGACATTCTATGTTCTAAGGACCCTCCTAGCCCTGACATCCTGTGTTCTAAGGGTCCTCCCAGCTCTGACAGAGATTCTCTGTTCTAAAGGCCCTCCCAGCTCTGACATCCTGTGTTCTAAGGGCCCTCCCAGCTCAGACATATTGTGAAATCCATTTGATTAAGCTCAGCAAAGCAAGTAGGAGGTCACATCTACAAAAGCCTGTGGAGCCTCGCAGGCCCCCTTGGGTTCTATGAATCACACCCCTATCCTCCTTGAATGAGTCAGCTCAGAGGCTGAAGGTCCTCGCTGCAGGAGCCAGTGTTCATCTGGCCCCTACGCCCCCTAAGCATGTCCCCTACATCTTCTGCCAATCATACTGGCCTGTTCACTTTCTTCAGAATTCTGACAACTGCTCTGAAGGGGGAAGACACAGGGATGGGGGTGGGGGTGATGGCCTTACTTAGAGACTCCTGCCTGGTCCAGGACCACCTTGCCTCCTCGACAAGAGGGGTAGACTTTAACAAAGAATTCGTAGAGCATGCCATCATCCACGTCTGGGCTGAGGTCCCTTACAAAGAGTGAGTACTCAGGGCTGAGGGAGAGAGAGAAGGACACAATCAGAGACAAAGGGCAGAGCAGAGCTAAGAAGAGCCCTACGGACCTAACCCACTGCAGTGGGCCCTTCCTCCGGGCCTGGCGGGAAGCTGTGACCTTCCAAGGATCCTCCTGGTCATCAAGGAGACCCTTCCTCTACTGCTCAGAATCACAGCCCAGCAGTCTCCTGCTTCACGGTGTGTGTCTGGCTGACCCCATGCCATCCTTGGAAACCCCGGTATGGGTAACTTTGCAGGGTTCCAAAGAGGGGTAACTAGGGAGTCCGGAGCCCAGGAGGAATGCTCAGAGCTATGGCCTCCTCTAAAATTTACACCGAGAAAGAGGCAGTCTTATCCCCTTCCCGTCCCACCCTTTGCCAAAACAAAAATCAATATACTCTGTATATGTGCATGCATGTATGTGGGGGGTGGGGGTAAAGGGACACAAGAAGGAGAAGGTATGAACCATAACCTCAAGGAAGACAAGAAACTGACGGCAGAGAAAGCAAGCCAGGGGGCTGGACATGGTCACAGCTGGACGTCACGTGAGGCTCAGCCACATGAGGCTTTGGCGTTCTTTCTGGGCATGCTCCCAAAGCCACCACAGGCTAGGCCCAGCAGGCCAGGCCCCAGCACCCACTGCTACGGCTCTGATGCCCCATGGCTACAGAAGAGGGAGCAGCCCTGGGGTCCCGCCTGGACTCACCTGTTATCTGGTTGTTTCCCATAAGTGGCATAGTTCAGTTTAAAACGTTTTGCCTGAAACAATAGGGCAGAGTCAGGAGAGGGTCACTCTAGGGCCAAACAACATTCAGAAGAGGCATGAAATAACCATGGATGTACTCACTGGTGTGCCAACTTGGTACAGCGTGGGGTGGTGCAGTGGAAAGAACCCTGGACTGGGGAGTCAGGAGACCTGGGTTCAAGTTCCAGCTCCACCACTTACAAGCTAGGTGACCTTAGGCAAGTCAGTAAACCTCTCTGAGCCTCAGTTTCATCATCTGTAAAATGGGAATAATAACACTTGCACTACCTACCCTACAGGGTTGCTGTGGGGGACAAATGTGATCACGGATAGAAAGCCTTTCCTCAACATCCTACAACAAGAGGAGTTATCACTGCTATCAACACTTATGATCAACAGCTGCGAACTGAAGGTAGACCAAGGGTGTCGGAGTGGACACATGTTCTGGACTGTGGGGGCCCTCCTCCAACACTTACTGTGGGGCCACTGACAAGTCAGTGAACGACCCTGAACCTCGGGCCACTCTCAAACTTATCTCCTCCTGGTGGAGCAGGCATGCCTGCCTGGGGACACCAGGCAGAGGCTTCCTTCTCTTGGCCTAGCATTGCATCCACCCTGTGACTAGCATCTCACTCAGGCTCCCATGACAAACTCATGGTCCTTACTGGTGTGGCTCCGGGGAGGGGTTTTCCATTTATTTTATGCAAACACTTCTCAGCTGTGGCCAGATCAGCAAATTCCACAAAGCAGTAGCCAGCAGGGATCCTGGAGAGAAAGGAAGGCGAGATCAGGGTTAGGGTGAGACCTAGTGACCTCTGAGAAGGAAGCCCTAATTAGAGGTGTCCCAGCAAAAGGGCCAGAGGACATGCAGTCAACTGCCAGCTTGGCGACTTAAGACCTGAGTGACTCGGAGTGTCTGTAAACTGGACGAGCAGATCTCCAAGGCCCTTCCAGCTCTGAAGACACAGTTCTGTGGAAGGAAACCAGATGGTCTTATGGAGCTCATGCTGTGTTACCTGGGATCTCTGCTCTTATATAACTGGACTGGTACAGGGAACTCCCAGTTTGAGAGCTGCCTCTACCAAAGGGGATCATTAAGGGTTCAACAACTTAAGAGTGCTGGAGGATTGCCTGGGAGCTCTGAGAGGGGGAATGACTTGCCCAGAGTCACACAGCCAGGTCATCAGAGGCGAGGCTTGACTGACATGTGGCTAGGGTGATCTGTAGATGGGAAAGGGACAGCGATCACACCTGTGATGAGGAACTGCCTGCTACCAAATGCAGGCCAACACCTTTCCAGCGACTCCTAGTCCTGGGGAGCTGCCTAGAACAATGTACCATGAAGAGACCTGCTCACAAGTCAGTGTTTGTCTGGGGTGTAATTGCAGGTCTCCCCCATTATACCACGCAGCCTCTCACCTATACATACAAACACTAATGTTACTGTTGGTGGTAATGGCAAGGACGGGATGGCAAAGCTTTTCCTGCACGAGAATCCCCTCGACAGCCTCCCCTGGAACACTCTCTAGCTCCCAAGGTATCCATAACCCTATAATCCTAATTTAATCAATAATCACAGGTGAGATTATTTCCTAGTAACAGAGGATCAGAGTTGGGAAGACTCCCCCAAACCCGATCACGGCTCTGCTACCACAAGGTCATGGAGCTGGCCTGCTGCCAAACACTTGTGGGGAGGAAGAATTCCCTACTTCCCAAGCCAGGCTGTTCCGCTTTGGGACAGCTCAGCATTTTAGTGTGTTGAGCCCTGTTGAGCTGGAACCTGCCCCTCTGTAACTTCCTCCAATTGTCCCTAGTTCTGTCCTCTGGGGCCCAGCAGAAGGCGGCTCATCCCTCTTGGCTATCGCCAGCCTGCAAAGGCCTGAAGAAGGTTATCATTCCTCCCCTTACTCTTCCAGTGATCCCCCTATGGTCCCCATGTGTGGTCCTCACTTCCTACCCCTTGTGGCTGCCCTTCCTTGCATATACTCCAGTTGGCCATGGAAACTTTCTCAAACGAGGCACTCAGAATGGAACACAGGCCTCCAGGTGTGTCTGGCCAGCACAGATAGCAGCAGGACCATTACTTCCTTCACCCTGGACATGCCTCTAACAGTACAGCCTAAGATCAAATGAACATTTCTTCTGCCTGCCACGTCACATTGTTAACTCACATTAAGCTTGCAGCCCCCTAAGAACCTCAGATCTTTTTCACATGAACTGTTGATTAGTTATGTCTCCCCCACACATCCTTGTACAGATCATTTTTTTTTTTGCTGCTATCATTTATATAGCACTTTAAGTTTTGCAAAGCATTTTACAAATATTATCTCATTTGACCCTCAAAAATAACCCTGGGAGGTAGGTGCTATCATCACCCCCATTTTACGGATAAGGAAACTAAGGGCCACATAGCTAGTAATAGGAAACATTTATATAGCACCTACTATGGGCCAGACACTGTGCTAAGCACTTTACAAATATTGTCTTATCCTCACAAGCACCCTAGGTGTTTTTATTTATTATCCCCATTTTACATATGGGGAAACTGAGGCAAGCAGGGTTAAGTGACTTGCCCAGGGGTCACACAGCTAGCTAGTAAGAGTCTGGAGCTGGACTTGAATTAAAGTTTTCCTGACTCTAAGCCCATCATTCTCTCTTCTGTGCCACCATCAACCTTCTAGCTACATAGTCCTATGCAAAGCTACTTTGAAAAGTATAAAGTTCTGAACAAATCATTCAGTCTTAAACTGGAAGGGAACTCAGGAATCATCCTTATTTGACAGATAGGGAAACTGAGATCTGGAGAAGAGTAGTGACTTATTCACCTGGGTTTCCCTTCTCTCTCATCTGGTTCTGTCTGAGAATGCTAATGGAAATGAAAATGGCCAAAAAGGCCAGGGGGACCTATCAGAGGACCTCAGTTCAAATCCCATCTCTGACACATACTACCTTTGTGACCTTAGGCAAGTCCCTTAAACCACTTGTGCCTCAGTTTCCTCACTTCTAAACTGATGGGAAAAAAATAAAATAAAATAAAAGGATTGACCTAGATGCTCTGAGGTCCCTTCCAGCTTCAGATCTATGGTCCTGTGAAGTTACAGAGAAGCAAATTTCAGTTCAATATCAGGAAGGACTTTCCAAAATACATTTATCTCGGGGCAGCTAGGTGGCGCAGTGGATTGAGCTCTGGCCTTGCAGTGAGGAGGACCTGAGTTCAAATCCAACCTCAGACACTTGACACTCACTAGCTATGTGACCCTGGGCAAATCACTTAACCCCAATTGCCTCACCAAAGTTAAAAAAAAAAACAAACATTTATCTAACATCGATGTACTCGCGTGGTAGTGAGCTTCCTGTCACTGGAGATCATAGGATCATGGAAGGTCATAGGATATGAATAAACAGTTTTCTAAGGAAAGTCCTACGCTATTAATCGCCAGATGAAAAAATCATTAATCATTAGAGAAATGTAAATTAAAGTCTCTGAGGTACCACCTCATACCCATCACATTGGCAAAGCTGACAAAAATGGAAAACGACAAATGCCAGACGAGTTATGTGGGAAACAGGTACATTCATGGACTGCTGCTCGAGCTGTGAACTGGTTCAACCGTTCTGGAGAGCACTCTGCAACTGGGCCCCAAGTTAGCTATTATGCTGTGCATACCAATGGACCTAGCGATATCATGATCAGGTTTAAGCCCCAAATAAAAAGGAATAGGACCCATGTTTCCAAAAACATTCACCGCCGCTCCTTCTGTGGAGGCAACGAATGGAAACTGAGGGGATGCCCATCCACTGGGGAAGAAATGAGGAACAGGATGGTTTCAGAAAAACCTGGGAAGACTTGTATGAACTGAAGCAGAGTGAAGTGAGCAGAACCAGGAGAAATAACAACAATGCTGTAGAGAGAAACAACTTTGAAAGGCTTAGAAACTCTGGTCACAACGTCCCATCACAACTCCAGAGGACTGAGGATGAAACGCTACCCACTTCCTGGTTTTGCTTGACCCTATTCATCTGCTACAAAGGAGAGTTCCTCTGGGGAGGAGAAATGATAGGGAGGTAAGGACATAAGAGAGTACCATTAAACCATTTCAGAATCTTCATGATAAGAGAAGCAGCTTGGAAAATACAGTACCCAGTGAGCCTGTTGCGGATAATTTTAACGCTGAGAACGGTCTCTCCCATGGTGGCGAAAGCTCTGGAGATAAAGTTTTCGTCCATGTAGGGTTCCAGCTGCAAGAAAACCAGCACTGTTGGAGAAACCAGGAGGTAAGCACCAGTCCCCTACCACACCCCCCAGCAGCCAGGGAGAGGCCGTGTCTGCCTTCCTCAAGACTGCCAAGGACTCAGCTTCTCTGAACATTCTTCATTTGAAATACAGAAATAATACCTGGAATATCTACCTCCCAAGGCCAAGTAGACTTCAAAGCAGGAAAACCTGGCTCTGAATCTCATTTCTAACCCTTACTAGCTGTGCGGCCCCAGGCAAAGTGCATGCTAGCCCCTCTGCCTCAATTTCCTCATCTGTAAAATGGACATAATACCACCCTGGGTACTTCACAGGGTTGTGCTGAGGACCCAGTGAAAAAACTTAAGTAAAGTATTTTGAGTGAGAATTAAATGAAAACAGTTTGTAAATCTTTAAGCCCTACCTCTCTCTTTGGGGCCTAGCCCAGTACCACCTCCCATAGGGGGCCCTTCTGGATTTCCTCAGTTGTTAATGTCTCCTTCCACACAAAGTATTTACTTTGCATCTCCAGACTGGTGGTCATTCACCTTCAGTAGGTGGAGAATTCCAGTAGAATGTAAGCTTCTGAAGAAGAGTTATTTCTCTCCCAGCACCTACTCCAATGCTGGCACATTCAACCAACCAACCCATCGATCAGCACGAATTTATTAAGTGCTTACTATGGGCTAAGAATTGGGGCTACAAAGACAAGCAAAAACAGTCCCTCAGGGAGTTGACATTCTCTAAAAAAATGTTTATTTTGGTCTTTTCTTTTTTATATCACCAAAATCTTCCCCAGTATCCTCTCCTTTCCCCCCTCCCAGAGAGCTATCCCATATAACAAATAATACGTTTTAAGACAAAAATTCAGCAAAAATCCATATATAGAAAACAATCTAAAAATATATGCAATGTTTGTGAACCTCCCAGCTCTGCGAAGAGGTGGGCTAAGGGTATCTTCTCATCTCTTCTTTGGAACCATGTTTGTGCTTTGTAATTTTACAGTACTTTAACATTTTGGGTGGTGATTCTTTCCACTTACATTGTTGTAATTTTCAGGGCTCTGCTCCATTTATTCTAGCACTTAGCACTGTACCTGGCACACAATAGGTACTTAATAAATGTGAGTTCATTGCACGGCTTCATATAGAGCTTCTCATGCTTCTCAAACCCATCACTGTCCTCATTTCTTAGGGCTCAGTAGTATTCTATTCAAGTATCACAATCACACCCACGGACTACAATTTGCTTCTTAGACCCTTCTCCAATCCATGAACAATTACTTTTTTTTCCCCCCAAGTTTTTTTTTAAACCACAAAAAAAGTGCTACTATAAATATTTTGGTGTTTGTGGGGACTTTGTTGCTCATCAGTGGACTTCTTGGGATATAAACTTTGTAGGGGAATCTTTTGTTCAAAGGGTATGGACATTTTAGTCCCTTTGTCTGCATTAATTTGGAATCGCTTTTCTTACTGAACGTGCCAAGAAGCTCACATTCTGGTAAGGAGGGCGATATGCAAATAACTAGGCACGTGCATGATATATACAATGTAAACAGAAGTAAGTCATAGGAGGAAGGTACTGGAGGAAGGGGAATAGACAGAGAAGGAAGGTTTCTTGCAAAAGGTGGGATTGCATTATCTTTAAAGAAGCTAGGGAAGCTAAGGGTCAAAGGAGAGGAGGGGTAGCGTTCCAAGCACTGGGCAACAACGAGTTGGCAAAGGTCTGGAGTATGGACATGGAAGTGTCCAGTTTGAGGAACTGGTAGGTCAGTGTTCCCTGTACCTTATGGAGGATAATCCAAGTGTAAGAAGTCAGGAAAGGTAGGAAGGGGCCAGGCTCTGAGCGCTTTAAACACTAAATAATGAACTCTATACTAGATCCAGCTTGAAAGCTCAAGGGTCCTTTTCTTTAGTTTTGATGGGGATAAAGACCCTCAAGCCCCGCCCCCTTTCTGTGTGGTCTCCATTAGAACGAAAACCCCTGGGGAGTAGGGACTGATTGGTTTTCCTTTCTCTGTGCCGCCCCAAACGCTTAAGGAGGTGCCTGACATACAGCAGGTGCTTAATAAATGTCCCGCCTGGTATTCAGTAAGCGATTAATAGGTGGCTGCCTCTCTGGACTAGAGATAATAACTGTTGGAATGCCATCCCCATCTCCTTGGGGGTCACTTTCAGGCCCAAGGCCCCACATTCATCCCTAATAATCCTAAAATCTGTGATGGCCGAGTACAGTACTGAGCAACTACTCAAAGCCTTTTGCACCCACGCCCACAAAAGCCCATTTTACAGAGGCAGAAGCTGAGGCCCGGAGAAGATAAATGACTAAGAAGGAAGAGCCGGTCTGGAATTCGAACTCAAGTCCCTCCCATCCCCGGGACGAGTGCTCAACTCCCCGCACCACCGGCTGAGGTGGGGGGGGTGGGTGTCCTGATTCTCACCCTACACCACCTCCCCGCGCCCCGCCCGCCCGCAGCTCCACCCGCGCACCCTCTGCCGGCCCGTGCGTGCTCACTTACGTCCCCCATCCACAGGGAGGCCGCCATGCCCGCGCGACCCCGCGCGGCCCAGGACTCTCGGAGGCCAAGGCGCCTCCCGCGCACACACAAACTCCGCTTGCGCTACTGAGCATGCGCCGCCGCCTCCGAGGGCGCATGCTCAGCCCCCGCGTCCACCGACGCTTCCTGCGGCAGAGGGCGGGGCGAGGCGGGGCGGGGCGAGGCGGGGCGGGGCGAAGTCCAACTCTGCGCCGAGGGCTTGGATGTTCCAGCCGGCTGACCTTTAGGGGCGGGGCCAGGCTTCCATTTCCTCCCGAGTGGGAGGGGCCTGAATGTGTTAACCAGTGTGCGCGTTTGGAGGCGGGGCTTGGCGAGGATTCACTGGTAGGAGGGGCCGGCATAGCGATTCTGCATCCTGGGTGCAAGACAGGACAAAGGACTATATTGATGATTGATCGATTTTAATTTTTTTTATTTTTGAACTTAACAAACATCACATAATATGGACCTTCGTATATGCCTAGTAAAACAGAAAAAGAGGATAGAGGGGTATACATGAAACTGCAAGTCTCTATTAATTACCTATTAATTATCTACAGCTTGCTTTTTCTTAGGACAGCTAAGTTTCATAGTGGATAGAGCACCAGGCCTGGAACTCCTCTTTCCGAGTTCAAATCCAGCCTCAAACACTTACTAGTTCTGTGACCCTGGGCAAGTCACTTAACCGTGTTTGCCTCAGTTTCCTCATCTGTAAAATGGGCTGCAGGAGGAAATGGGAAACCACTCGAAGAGTGGGACAGGACTGAAAAAACACTGAACTGACTGCTTGAGTATACAGTAAAGCTGTCCAGCTTTTCAGTGATTCCTTCTGTTCTTGGTGCATTTTTAAAAAATGCTTCAATTGTTAAAAATTGTCATTACATGTAACTGGGGGAAAATAAACTATTATTTTAAAAATAATAAAAATGCTTCAATGACCCTCCATCAATTAGGAAGGAGTCAAAGGATGGTCTTGTTACATACAGGGAGGGCCCAGGTGAGGCTGGATAACGTTTATTTATAAAGTACCCAGTCCACCCAGTTGTGTTTTCCTCTGGCCCTGCTTTACTGCAAGACCCTGCCAGCATAGGCCTTCATATTCACCCCAGGGCCTGCTCCAATACTCTTGCATAGGTTCCCAAAGTGAGCGATATCGCCCCCTGGAGGGCGCTGGAATCATGGGGGGAGGGGCAATAATTTTTTGAAATGATGCAAATTTCAAAAACAAAACAAAAACCCTTAAAGGGTTAAATAAAGTCGATTTCCAGGGGGTATTGAGAAAATTTTTTAAAAGGGGGTCAAATAAGTTTGGGAACCTGAACTAGAGGGCATCCGGGAGCAGATTCTAGTTATCTATCCCTTTTTCTTTTCTGCCACCCACTTTGCACAATTAATTCCTCTCTAGACTATACTCTGGACTTTTTCTATCATCCTCCAGAAACCCCTTCAATCTGGAACCTCAGTCCAGCCCTGGAATTCACACATCAGTGTTGTTTTCCTCCATTAGAATGTAAGCTCCTTCAGGGTCAAAAGAGAGACTAGAATAAATGGGGGGTAGGATAAGATGAAGGGAAATATACTTAGTTTTCACAACAGGACTACTATGGAAGTGTTTTGCATGACTACACATCTATAACCTGTATGGAGATGCTTGCCTTTTCAATGAGGGTGGGTGGGGAGGGAGGAAGGGAGAAAATTTGTAACTCAAAGTTTTAAAAACATATGTTAAAAATAATTTTTTTTTTTTAAATAGAATGTAGGGGCAGCTAGGTGGTGCAGTGGATGGCCCTGAAGTCAGGAGGACCTCAGTTCAAATTCGGCCTCAGACCAAACACTTGACATGTACTAGCTGTGTGACCTTGGGCAAGTCACTTAACCCAGATTGCCTCACACACACACACACACACAAATAGAATGTAAGCTTCTTGAGGGTAAGAACTGTCTTTCTACTTGCATCTGTATTCTCAGTACCTAGTAAGGTATCTGACACATAGTAAGCTCTTAATAAATGCATGTTGACTGACTGAATTCCTGCCATCTGACAGGAGTATCCCAGGGCCATATATGCCCCACCCTGCTCCTGCCTACTTGAGAGAGGCTCCTAGGGTCCACAGGACACGTCACTGCCACCTATGAGGTATCTCCAGGTATTGCGCAGTCTAATCAATTGCATCCCTCAATGGATCTGTCTCCAGCCACTGATATATTTCCTGGATTCTTTTTTCAGTGATTATAGCCTCCATACCCCCAACTCCTCATACATTCTCCATCCCATTGATTCTGAATCCCGTTTCCCATGGACAAACTTTCCATTACCCTCAGATTTAACCCTCCTCCTCTTCCCAATGTCCCACTCCAGATCTGTCCCACTTTCACTATGTTCACTGGAATACCTCCTCCATGATTAACAAACTTCCTTTCATCTTTAAGGGTTTCCTGTCTCTCCTTCCATCTTTTGGGTCTCACCAAGACTTGGCTCCCTTCTGATGGCATGGAGTCCCTTTCCAGAGCTGGCTACACTTTCGTCATACCCCTTGATTCACTGGCTGTGGATGGGGGAGTTGAAATACTCCCTATGGTCCACTGTCACTTCTGAATTTCCTGTCTACCTCCATAACCCAGCAACTTTCATGCAAACCCAGCAACTTTCTGTGAGGCTCATGCTGTCCAAATTTCTGACCCAATCCAGGTTCTGATGCTCATTAGCTATCCTTGCCCAGGAAACTCTTCCTTCCTCAATGAATTCAATGCCTGACTCAACCTTTCTCTCCGCAACTCCTGCCCTCATACTAGAAAACTTCAATGCATGTACAGATGCTTCCTCAAATACCCTTAACATCCCAGTTCCTTAATCTACTAAATTCCCATAACTTTCATGCCTTCACTCCATTTCAGCTAACTAGAGCTGGTCATACCTTCAATCTTGCCATCAGCCACAAATGTTGCACTTTTCATGCCTACAACTCCACAATTCCTTTATCTGACCATTCTTTTATCATTCCATCTTTCGCTATAGCTTATATCCTGTCCTCCTGTTTTTTGTCTTCACTGTGGCTTCAATTCAGGGGTGGCCCTCAATTCTTTCCCAGGCTATTACAGTAGATTGTGGGGTTGACAACTTTGCACAGCCCTGCCTCACTTATACCCAGTTCATATGCAAATCAAGACATCACTGTCATGATGGTCACTGGTCCTCTTCCAGAAGGAAGGACAAACAACCCCATTAATGGCTACTCTCCACTCTTCCCTATCTCCACCTCTTCACTAATCAGTTCAATTCTACTGGATCTTCTATGTTTAATTCTATTCTATACTTAAATGCCTTGTTCCCTTGTCCAATCATGGACCACCCCTTGCCAAACCTCAGTCTTGGATTACTCCCTTCTTGACCTCTGCAGCATTTGACCTTATTCTCCTCATGTATACTCCGAGTTTTTGTGATTCTGTTTTATCTTGGTTCTTCTACCTATCTGACCGATCCTTTTCATTCTCTTTTGTTGGATCTTCAATAATGTCAATGCCTATTAACTTTGGGAAAATGGAAGTTTCCCCCCCAAGGCTGTTCTCTGCCTTGTTTTCATCTAACTTGATGATCTCATAAGCTTCTATTTGTTCAATTATCCTCTCTATACAGATGATTCCCAGATCTATATATCCACCCCTCGTCTCTTCTGAGTTTCAGTACCACATCACCAACCCACATCAAATCAGATGTATTATAGGTATCTTAAATTCATTACATCAAAAACAGAATTATCTTTTCCCCAAAACTCCTCTTCTTTGATATTGTTACATTAGTAATAATATTAGTAACATTCATATCACCATTGAGGATATCATCATACTCTCACTCACCTAGGCTCACAAACTATGTGCCATCTTCCTCATTACTCCACACACCCAGTCTTTTAGAAAAGTTTGTCATTTCTATCTTCATAATCATCTGTCCTACATGCTCTCTTCTCTTCATTCAGTCATCCCACTAATACAGGTTCTCATCACCTCTCCTGGACCATTGCAAGAGCCTTCTGTTTGTTCTCTCTGCCTCATTTCTCCCCAGTCCAATCCATCTTTCACACAGACACCAAAGTGATTTTCCTAAAACAAATTTGACCATTAACACTTACCACCCCTTAGTATTCAATGAACTTTGATGGCGCCTATTACTTTAAGATCAAATATGAAATTTCCTATTTGGTATTTAAAGCCCTCTATACTTTCCACCCCCCTCTACACACTACAATCTAGCTAAAATGGTTGACTTGTTCTTTCTCACATGCAACATTCCATCTTCTGATTCCATGAATTTCACACTAGTTTATTGTTCCCCAAACCTAGAATGCTCTCCCTCTTTCCTTCTGCATCCCAAATGTCTTGGCTTCCTTCAAGATTCAGCTCAAATCTCACCCTGTTCAGGCCTTCCCCAGTCTGCCCTTGCTCCCTCCCTTTGAGATTAATTTTCATCTACTATTTATATATATATCCTATATGTGATTAGTTTGATGTGGTACCACCCACTAGAATGTGGGCTCCCTGAGGGCAGGGACCTTGTTTTTGCCTTTCTTTGTATCCCCAGTACTTAGCACAGTGCCTGACATGTGTCATGTGCTTAATGCCTATCGACTGATGCACAAGTTATTCTACAAGAGGTTGTCACCATAAACTCTCAGGTAGGTGATTCAAGTATTATCCCCATTTTGGAGATGAGAAAATTGAGGCTTGCCAGGAGTGACACAAGGTGGAGAGTTGGAGCTAGTAATCAAACCCAAATCTTCTGACCTGGGTTGAGGCTCTTTCACTAAAGTAAGCGGCCTCCAATGAGATCAGAACATGCAGACTCACATGAAAAACAGTGACGAACTTTTTGACAAACGGAGACGCAAAAGGAACGGGAAGGAGACACCAAGCACGAAGTTCATTATAATTTTGTCACATTTATGTATTTTTTGAAAAAATAATTTGGATTCCATGGTTTCGCTGGGGATTTCATTCCTGTTTGTATTTGTGTTAGTCACTTTATAATCGAAAATTACTGTAAGCAAAGAATACTTTCACAGATGTTGGGATCTCCTACTCCTGCAAGAAGAGTCAGAAAGATTATCTGGGTTTCACAGATGAAGAAACAGGAAGCTCAAGTAATAGACTTTTGGCTATCTACTTTTAGAAACTTCTTAGGTTAACCCTTTATAGCAACCTGCCCAAGGTCAACAAGCTACTAAAAGAGTAAGCTGGGACTCAAATCCACAACTTCTGACTCCAAATCTAGTGTTCTCCACTTACCCCGTGTCCTACTGGCAAGCTTGGAGCTTCCTTCTCCCTATTCAGGCTCAGCCCCAGGCCATCCCTAGCAGCCACTTTACCAGTCCCCCAACAGGGTGCACAGTCCAAAGACAACTTTATCACATACCAAAGACAAGAAATTTTAAGCCAGATAATCTCTGGTCTATCAGGCCAGACCAAAAAGAGAGCAGAAAGCAAGGACGTACTTGGCCACCCAAACTCGAGGGTGTATCTTTCACCCAGTGGATCTCTTCCTGCCCTCCCCATCCTAAAGTCTTCATAGGGATATAACTAGAATTTATAATTTTCTTCCAATCTCTCAGGCTGCTTCTCAGGGAGAACCAAATAGGACCATTCAATATGGGAACCCCCAATCTCTTTCTGATCAACTATTTTGGAAATCCTCAAAACTTTAAGAGGGATCTAGGCATCACCAGTAGGTGATGGCAGAGCATGACTTGAGCAGATTAGAGATGGACCACACAACATTTTGAAATCCACCAACTGGACTTTAGTTTTCTTGGTGAATTGGGCATCTCTCCTGGGGTTGGGTTTAGTTGTAGTCTCCGCTGGCTGCCCACATCAGTTAAGTATTCTATACAAAAGGAGCATTTCTCAGCTGGAATGCCCTCCAGGACTTTGGACCCAGAGTTTGTCGGCAAACAAAGTTTCCTCCTTTGGAAAATGTGGGGGATGGGATTAGATCTAAAGGACATCTAAGGTCCCTTCTAGCTGTAAATGCTACGATCTCACCCATGACTTGTGGCATCTACCTTCCTCCTGCTTAGCCAGATATTGTTAACATATGTCTCCATGATAAACCACAGCTTGGGTAGATATGGTATTTTACGGTTTCTAAACTATCCTCTAAACATCCCTGTTAGGTAGATGGGATGAATATGGTTATCCCCATTGTTGAGAGTAGGAAAAGCATAGGAAAGGCGAAAAATAGCTCAGGACTTGGATTCAGTGGACCCTGGGTTCAAATTCCAACTCTACCTATGATTACCTGTGACCTTGGATAAGGCAGTAGACTTCTCTAGGACTCCGTTTCTACCCCTGTAAAATGAGGGGATTAGAATAGATGATGCCTTCTGGTTCTAAATGATAGATCTCATGAAAATTGAAGCCCAGAAAAGTAAAAAATACTTGCCTAAAAACAGAAAGTCAAGTGTGAGGGTCAAAAGTCTTAAGCCAGATCTTCTGACCTAAGATGGAGCTTCCATGGTACTACCCAGGAAGCTAAGGTACCAACTGAGCAATGAATGAGGATGGGCCCTGCAGCACCAGACAAGCATGCCCCTAGAGAGAGTGACTTCATGGGGTATTCATTTTTAAGGACTGCCAACCCCAGGACTGTCTGTAAAGCTCATCTGAGGCCAAAAGATCCAGAGAATCAGTCATCTTAGATGCTAAGATTCAGACAGACATAGAATCCTCCCTTCCCCCGCCCTCACTGCAAACTTTACCCCTTTATGGAGGCAAAGATGAAAATAGACCAATTCCTTTAAAAAAAAAAAAAGAAAAAAACCGCCTCAAAATTTATTCAGTGTTAAAAGCTCTTACTCTCCCTGACCAAAATACTTTAAACACTCTTTAAAAAAAAAACCAAACTATTTTCTGAGCTACTGTACAAATTAATGTTCTCCTCCCTCAAGGACCAGCCCCCCAACCTCCCTTACCTACATACCCCTCCCATTTTCATATTGTTATAAATTAATTTATAAAAAGGTAGTTCTCCTTCCCAGAAAAACACGATTTCCATTCATGGTGTTTGGAATCTGGCTGCAAGAAGTCAGTGGGTGGCATGGCATCAGACCAGTCTGTGGGGCAGGATGAATTAGGACTGCTTAGGCCTCCCTGGGGTGTGGGAAACACCATGCGATTCCATTTCTTGGCCAGCTGGGTCTGCCTTGCCTTGCGTTGCCTCGCCTCTGTGGCCTGAACATTCACTGTCCTGGAGGAAGCCATGAGCCCAAGGGGAGTGGAGAGGTCCACAACCTCAGCCCCACCATCCACCCATCTAGTGTCTTTCTTGCCCCGGCCAGGCCTCTTCCTGGGGGAAGGTTGAGGTTCTGGGGATCAACCTCTGTCCAGTTCCCCTTCTGGCAAGTGCGTAAGCCTTGTCCTTAACTGACAGCCCCAGATGGATGGGGAAGGGGCCGGTGAGATAACAGCTGTGGATACAGGGACTGAGGGAACAAAGCCAGTTGAACAACTGTGAGTGTTCTGATGACTTTAAATCATGTGGACTGGACACCCCCAGGGAGAAAGCACCGACTTCTCAGCGGTGGGGTGGGGATGAGGGGAGGCAGAGTGGGAGACAGGACCCGGGGGGGGGCTCCACCCACTTTCTTCCAAGGAACATGAACCCAAAGTCGAGGGAGGCCAGGGTGAAGGGGCCTGAAGGGGGATGAGGATCAGACAGACAAGAGAGCAGCGGCTCTGAGGTGGGAAATGTCCATCCATTCATCCCTTGAGTATTTTAACGCAATTCCTTCATCTTGATGTTCCCAAGATGATTCCCTACAAGAGCCAAGATTCCATTTCTGCTGCTGGAGGGGCCGGTAAAGGTAGATGGAGGTTTTCTGCTGACAGCCGAAGGAGTCTTATCTTTCCCATGGAGGAGAGGGGAGGGAGAGCAGACAGTTTCATTAAGGGTTTCATCAACTCTGCTCCTTGTTTCTGACCAGTAAGACCGTGTGCTGCCCCCCACTGGACACTGACAGAACGACCCGATTCTCCAGCTGTTTGCCCGCCATCACCACTGGGCTCCAGACGTCGTCATCCTCTCCTGTGCCCAGCTGGAAGTTGGTGCCCATTCCCCAGGCAAACGCTCGGCCTGTGGGGAGAGGAGAGAAAGAAAGGTGAATGCCTTGCCCCCTCCCCAAATTCCCACCCAAGCCCCATGCTCACACCTAAAAGGCCTGAGACGCCCAGTCCTCTGCCAGCCCCTCCAAGACCGAGAGCCACATGGTCTCACCCTTAGAGGGAATGCACTCACTGTAAGACTCCTCACGGACATGATCTCCGCAGAACTCCACGAGGTCCCCATGGGCTTTGCAGGCCCAGTGTGTCTGTTCGCTCCCCACCCCCCCCAGTTCCAATGCCATAATACTGGTGTATCCTAACTACATAACACAGGCCACCAAATCCACGTTCCAGACACAGACGCAGAAGGACTTCCAGCTCTCATGGCGCCCTACTGCCTATGTGACACGGTTCCTCGGAGCTCCCTAAGCCCAGCATTTAAGGTGCCCCAGCCCTATTTTCATCTCCTCCTCAATAAAGACCTTCTGCTCCCATCAGGCCAGCCTGCTCTCTGCTCCCTGACCCCTCGCGGCCTTTGTGTCCTCCTCGAAGGAGCAGGAAGAAACCTTACAAGGTTCAACTCTCTCATTTCTTTGAAAAGCAAACAAAATATCTACAAAGTCAAACTTAGTGACATTCATTTCTTTTCTTTTTTTTTGGTGGGGGTGGGCCAGTTGGCAGGCTGTGATGCTAAGATATGGGAACGTGGCCACTTTCAACCAGAGGTGTGGTCCCTGAGGCCTGCAGGGGTCCCTGGCTTTGGGCCTGTTGCTGACCCCCCCCCCACCCCCCCCCCCCCCCAACACCCGGGGCCGAGGGACAGGAAGAAAGCAGAGGCCAAAGAGGAAAGACTGACACGCCCATATATACAGTCTTTCTCATGGGGACTAAGATGTCTTTATCATTTCCTGTTTTTTTCCAAGGTCTCATTTTAGAGATGTGTATCCAGTGAGGGCCAGAGCTAGTCTAGAGACTAGCCATCCCACTGTCTACTCCTGCTGCTGGGACACTGACATCCCACAATCCTTGGACTCTTAATCACAAACTGACCCAAATTCGTGGTTTCACACGTTTGGGCCTTCAGTTCCTGAAGGACAAAGATTGGATTTGGATAGAGTCTCCCACCCCCAGTTAGCAGAGCTCCAAGAATGCCCAGGAGGGCTCACTGAGTGACTGACAGATTGCCCCCCACTCACCATCCTTGGCTACGGCATAGCCAACCGAGGCACCGCAGGCAACTGATGAGGCGGGAGGCAGTTTTGGAATGAGAGTTGGACTGCTCTTCTCCTCGGCGCCTGCCCCGAGGCCCAGACGCCCGTACTCAGCCCTGCCCAGGCTGTAGACTTTACCTACGGTCAGGAAGAATCACGAGGGGTGAGAAGCAGAGGCCAACACCATCGGACCCTGCCCCTCCCCAACAACCCCTGGTTTATCCTTCCTGGGGCTCAGGACCTTGTATTCTGTGGTGCCAGAGAAGTGGCAGGAAGAGGGAAAGGCTGGTGCCTGCCTCCTTCAAGGGTATGGTCACACCAAAGAAGGGACCCAGAGGGAAGAAGGAACAATCAGCTGTCCCATAGGGAAATGAGACTATATCAAAGTTGGGAGGGCCTAAGGAATTACCTCTTATACATCCCTCAGCCTTATCACTTGAGGGACTCTGGAGAAGCCTGGGGGAAGAGGGCAAAGGAAGATGAGGGAGGGAGTGAGGGAGGGAGGGAGAGAGAGGGAGAGAGGAGGGAGAGGGAGAGGGAGGGAGACAGAGAGAGATTCTTCCCCCCATCCTTGTATGTATATCTCAGCAGCTAGCAGTGTCTGGCATACAGGAGGTGGCTAATAAATACTTGTGGGCTGGTTGATTGACCTTGCCAACCCACAAACTAACACCCTGACCCATGGGGAGCCCCTCCAAAGCAGCTTACCTTCTGAGTCCAAGCAAACTGTGTGATGCTGCCCACCAGAGAAGCCCACCCAGGATTTGGTAGAGTTCTTGAACGACGTTAGATTCTGGGGAGCAAAGCAAGGCTCTGTGTTCGCAGTACCTAGGGGGAGACCCCAAGTCAGATGGTCAGGCATGAGTCTTGTGGCCCCTTCCTACCCTCCCTAGGGACCTGAAGGCACATGGTTACAGCCCCTCCTGGTGGGGTCTAAAGGGCCGGTGTGCAGAGCAGCTACAGACAAACTGGGCAAGCTGGGAAGAGCCCCATGGGGGAGTGAAAACCCAACACTCAAAAGGTGAGAGCCGTGGTTCACAACCTAAGAGTGGGAAGCACAGTGCCTAATTTCGATGGCACGGGTTCCTCACTCTCGTGTTATAGACCCCTTTGGCAATGTCTGATGAAGCCTCTGGATCCCTTCTCAGAATATTTTCAAATGCACAAGAATAAAATACGTAGGATTATAAAGGAAACCAATTATATTGAAATGCAATTATCAAAATAGAAGAAGCACAAGTTTATAGACCTCAGGTTAAGAACGCCTATCCTAAAGGGACCTATATATTCTATCAGGGAGAGAAGGATGGAGGCCGTTTCCTAATGTTGGTTCTGCCCCCATTTGATCCCTCTGACCTCCGAATCCTGCCAGACTTTCTTCCCTGATAGCTTCCACATTACATAACAGTCCTTGTTCTCCATGTCCAGAGACTTCAGCCCTGCTTCAAGAAGGAACAGAGGCCCTAGAGACACATACTAACATCGTTAACTGATCCCACAAAAATGTGGTGTTAGGTAAAACAACATTACCAGGGCCAGTGAGCTCTATGAAAACAATGCTATGAAAGGGAGATGCATTCCTGGGCAGCCAAAATTCATACTATCAAGCCTAAAACGTAGGGCTTTATCAAGGCCTGGGACTGTGTCTTAGGGAATTAAAAGACTGGTTTGAGCAAAGAGGGGCTGGTGAGGACCGGGAGGAAAGTCTCGTGCAGCCTCAGGGGCTTGAAACATATTAACAGGGAGATTGTTTTTCAATGATGGTCTATTTGACCCTGAACATCACAATTGCAATTGGCTGCACTGTCCTAGCAACATCATGCAGAATCTCTGTGGAGCAGCAGCTCTTAAGCTGGGGTCCACAGAGTGCCAAGGAGTCTGTGAATAGGGGTGGAAAAATGATCACATCTTTATTTTCATTAACCTTTAAGTGAAACATAACATTTCCTTCTATAAAGAACACAGGCAATAAACCACAGAGGGTATAAGCAACACCTCAGGCTTTGTTGCCAACAGAAACAAATCACAAAGAAAAAGCTTCATGCTGAGGTATCTTTAAAAAACAAATTTTACCTTTAACTTGCCCACATTTGAATTGTTTTCTTGCTACTTAATGTACTAATAAAGAAGCACTATGACTATACCACAAATTTGTTTTTTTTTAATTATTTCAATAAATGCATTTCAATGTAACTCGTTTCCCTTATCATCCAATTTATTTTATTTTATGCATTTAAACACATTATTCTGAGAAGGGGTCCACCAGGCTCCAGTCTGCCCAAGTAGGACAGAGAGGTCCCTAACACAAAAACGGCTGAGACGCTGGAGAATCAGCCTCTCACAGCCAGAGCCAATGGAAATCCCCAGCCTGGCTTCCTTTCCTGGCTGGCTCAGCCCCAGCTCCTTCCCCACGGTACCCAGCCCCTGAGAGCTTGGAGAGACAAAGTGTGCTGGCCATTTGCACGTGGAGCCAACAGACTGGAGAAGGGGGACTGGCCGCACTGCCGATGGGAGCCTGTACCCCAAAGCTAACCCGGCATGATACGGGGCAGCATGCATGGTACAAAGAACTCTGGGCTGGAAGGAAGAGGGCTTGGGTTCAAATCCTATCACTGATGGCACGAGCTAGATGACTTTCAGCAAGTCACATAACCCACAAGGGCTTCAGTTTCCTTATCAGTAAAATGAGAGAGCTTGCCTCTGAAGCCCCTTCCTGGACCCCATGATTATATCCTGTCACCTCCTGAAGGCTGTCACTGAGAGCCAATGGGCCTCAGTAGGACGTGGAGAAAGGAAGAAGAAGGCGGAGCAGATGGACAGGGCCCAGGGCAGGCCCAGTCCTCAGATAAGCTATGGGCAGACCAGGGGATATCTCAGTTGCCTGCGCCACAGGCCCCTTTCCACAAAGGGTCCTCAGACTCACCAAGCTGGTGGTAGTTGGAAAGGCCAAAGCCGTAAACGTGGCCCTCACGGCTGACAGCGAAGGTGAAATAGGCACCGCAGAAAGCGTCCTGGAAGAGGACGGAGCCCCGCTGACCCTTAGACTTCAGCAGCACACACTGGGGGACCAGCAGTCGCTCTGGATGGGGGCAGGGAGGAAGCAGAGCATAGGCAACAGGGGAGAAAATGTGGGGGGGCAGGAGGGCGAATCCACAGAAAATGGGGGGGGGGCAGGAGGGCGAATCCACACACGTCCTCTTTGGCCATCTATGAGGTCGCTCTGCTGGACACTCGACTCATTCCTGGGCAGTAAGAGAACTTAGGGACCAGAACCTCCCCCCCACCCTCCTCAGTTTCAACCCTATGGACTATAGATTGCTCATTTCAGTCCAGATATTGAATTCTACCCCAACACTTCCTGCCGTACATAATCCCAAAAAGGTCTAATGTACTGGGCCAAAGGATTTTTGACTACTGTGAAGGAGGCCTGATTTCTTCCGGGATTCTACTTATTCAATCCCGTGGCACACCCCAAAGAAGACAGAAGGAGGTGCTTAGTGGAGGTGTCTGTGCCCCGGCCAACACCTCCTGCTGTATGTATATTAACAACTCTCAATAGGTGGAGTTCAATAGGGCTACAGAAAGTCACCTGGATGTGAGACATCCATGAAAACCTTAGTACATACACCAGGCTCATCCTCTTCTTGGGGATCCCGGCTTCTCTCTAGGTTAACTACTATTCTTGTCCCACTCCTGATTGTTTTCCTTTTATTTCTTTTTTGGCCCTTGTCTGCTCAATCTTCTTGTCAGATTTGTCTCCTCTAGGCTCAGTGCCCTCCACTTCCAGATGACTGCTCAGGCTGGGTACCAACCCCTGTCTGAGACCTGGCATCGGCCAAGTTCTGGACACTGGCTGAAGCACCAACTCCTTGAACAGGGGAACCCCGGGAGGCAGGGACAGCTTTATGCCCAATCCCAGCAGGAAGCAGTTTCAGAAGCTGAGACCTCTGTCCCTCACCCCAAAAGATTTTGGCCCCCCTCTGTTTAAGGGGGGAACGATGGGGTGCTTGTACTTGGATCCCAATTTCTCCCTAGTCTCTGAAACACTGTCTCTGACAATCACTGCCCAGCCCAAGGATGCTGTGCCAAGCAATTACTCATGCGTGGGCCCCAGCACGACCCTTATCTCTCTCCCTGGTGCAGCTACACAAAGCGGGTGAGAGTGTGCTGGGCTGCTCAGGCCCCAGCCCTCAGATCAGGTCTCTGGAAGTCTCCCAAATTCCTCACTAAGTTCCTGTCTTGTGAGAAAGCTTTCCCTTGTTGCAGAGCATTCTCTCATCAAGACAGAAAGACAGGGGTGCCTTGCCCGGTCCAAGGACTCTTCCTCCTGCCAGACTCCCACGATCCATACCTGTCATCCCCCACCCTGTCTGGTATACTCCCTGTACTTTCCCATCCATAGCTCCCAAAGACACCTGAACCTTTAGATTACCTTATCAGTATCCCTGGCATTCCTTTTCCATATAAACCCTAGCTCCATCATCAGTCTCTCACAGGTTCCTTAAGAATCCTTGCCTGCTGAAAAGCATAACAATAACTCTTTGCCTCCTTGACTTTAAAAAAAAAAAAAAAAAAGAATACAGAAGGACGTTGAAGGAGGTGGGAGGAATACCCAGCTAAGGCAGAGTCAGGAGACGTCATCCAGAACCTATGAGATCCTGTGGAGAAAGCAGGACTCGGCCCTATCCTTAGGGCCAACTCTGCCTGCACCAAAACCTGACCAAAGGAAGGTGGCCCAAGTCACTTACCAAGGCCCTTCCGGCCCCCACGGTTGGCGAAGAACTCGGGCACCCGGCCCAGCTGGCCCTGCTCCCCACAGCCAGACGTGTACAGGCTGCCGTCCACCGTCAGCATCACCAGGTGGTCGTTGCCTGGGGAAGAAAGAGGGGAAGCTTGAGCCTCCAAGGCAGCCAAGGCTGTGCCAGCGCAATCCCCAGGGAGGGGCCGAGGGGTCACCTGGGGAGGCTCTTTCTGCTAGCCTGAGGTATACAGGCCTACCACTAATCCTTCCCAGGTCAGACACTCTGTGTTCTGAGGGCCCTCTCAGTTCTGATATTCTGTGTTCTAAAGGCCTTCCTACCTCTGACATCCTGTGCTCTAAGGGCCCTCTCAGTTCTGACATTCTGTGTCATAAAGCCTTACAAACATTCTGCGGTCCTACAAATTCTTGATCCCCAGGCCGTTTTATGCTTCTACAAATTCTCAGTCCTGCTGGGGGCTAGGGTCCATTCAGGGTTCTGCACTTACCCGATGCCACCTTGATCACAGGTACTTCGAGCTGGACTTGTACAGGGACCATGCTTTTCTTCATGGGCTCCAGGAGGCCAATGACTCCATTATTGTCCTGGGGGTGGGAGTGGGAGATTTGACGTGTTACTTCTTCTGTGCCTGCTCCTTCCTCCTCCACCAGGCTCTCTCCCTGGACTTATTTCATTCTTGCCAGCCTGCTAGCCCCTACGCACAATAGCCCAACACCTAGAGTCTGAAGTACCCCTCCCCTTCTGCTTGCCCCACACGTCCTCCCTCCCTTGTTAAATCCCAGCTCTGATCACCAACTACACGAAGCATTCTGAGGCCAATCACTCAGGAGAACAGTTTGGAACAACACCAGAAATTGTGCCTAATCTTAAATGCAGCAGTCCCATGGATGGGCAGGAAGCAGCTTGTCTTTACAGAACACCTTAAAGTTTTCGAGGGGCTTTACAGACATCCTATCATCTGATCCTTCTGCCAATCTCAGGAGGGAGGTCTGAAGCAGAAATCAATCCCCCTGACTTCCAGTCCATCATTCTGTACACTTTACCACACACCCCCTCGATATACGCCATGGGAGTCAAATTCAGAGGCCCACCCCATGGATGAATATCGGGAGGGGCACTATTTGTAGTAGCAAAAAACAAAGCAACAGCACCAGCAGGCCAGAGGCTGGGGAAAGACTGCTCCAAGGGTGGTAAGTGATAAGCATTCAAGGATGAGGGTCTTTACTGTACCACTGGAAGTGACTAATCTGAGGAATTCAATGAAATGAAGGGAAACTTGTAAAGGGAAACAGTGAAGACCCAGGAGAACAATTTACATCCGAGGTGTCAAATCCGCAGCGCAGTCGGAACCAGAGTAATATGTAATTGGGAAACGCTTCACAAAGTCAATAAAAATACCATACAGATCATGCTAATTTCTGGTTTTCTACGTCAACATGGGACCCATGGGGATGCCCTTCTATTTGAATTTGACACCTCTGATTTATATGATGACTCCATTAATATAAAGGAAAACAACATGAAAACCACAGTAACTTGGATCAAAGCAGGGACGCATCTTGACTGGAATTAGAATTCTTTGTCATGAGGGAGGGGGCGTCATTTGGAAGTGATAGCAATGTAATAAAAAGAAGCATCAATAAACCGTTTTAATATATCAACCAGAAAAGCTCACGGGAAGCATTCCTGAACTGTCCCCTTCTAAAGCCCCCATTTTCCAAACCCTCTGGATAAGGATACTTCAACACTCACAAATTTTCCACCTGTTTATCCACAAGCCCACTGGACTGGAATCCCCTTAAGGTCAAAGATGGGATTTCAACTACGACCTAAATCTCTTCTTACTGTCCTGCCTAGAGGGTGGTCTTTTGCCCTGGGGGACAAGTCACATGTAGTCAAAAGAACATTGGTCTGTACTGAGTTAGGAGAGCTGGGTTCTAGAACCTGGCCCAGGCTCTGTTACCAATTTGGCACATGACCTTGAGTTGTGCAACAATCACTTTCGTTCTCTGGGGTTCAGACTCCTCAATGGCAAAATAAAGAGGTGGAATGAGATCTTCCTTCCCGTCACCACCACTAGGCACAATGCCTCACCTCCCCCAGACCCCGCCATTCTTCCCAGGACCCCAGGTGGTGGCGGCCTTACCCGGAAGGAGCCCCAGAGGAAAACTCGCCCGTCCTCAGTCAGTGCTGCGGTGTGACTGTCTCCAGCTGAAACCTGCACCACCTTCTCCGACAGATTCACTACCCCTGGGATGGTTTCTGATCCCTCTACACTGGTGTCCCTTCCGAGGGCACCCTCATCATTGCAGCCAAAGGTGTAGACCTGTACCCAGAACACAAGCCCAGTTGTCAATCCCAGACAGGGGCTGTGTGCCACAGGCTAGGTGTTTGCCATCACGCATCCTGGGTGGGTGGCCGAGAATGGCGGGTTCGTCTGGGCCCCACTTGGGCCCATCGGCTCAAACACAGTCAGCCATCGCTCTGGCCACAGTGGGACCATACTAGTGGCCGTGGATGGGTCACTGCTAGGAAGACTACTCAACGGAGGTGAAAGACAGGGGTGGGGAAGGAGATGAGCAACCCTGCACTCCTTCATCCACCCCAACATCTGGGAGTTTTCTCTCGCTCCCCACTTGTTTGTTCCCTTCATACTCACTTGACCACTCTTGCCCAGACACACGGTGTGCATCCCTCCGGCCTCAGCCTGCACGATGCCTTCAGGCATGGAGACCAGGGCCGGCCGCTTCCTCTCCATCACGTCCTCACCAAGCCCCAGCTGGCCTACGTCCCCCTGGCCCAGGGTCAGCACCAAGCCTGCTTCTGTTCGGTGAGACTTGTGGAAGACTGGAGCCCCAGGAGGCAGGGGAGGAGAGAAAAAAAAAAGGAGGAAATGCTCAGAGGACAAGAGAGCTCATTTGGGGAACAAAGGAGGATGGACCTGTTCTCCTGTACCAGCCAAGGCTCCAAGCTCCTGGCCAGAAGCCTTTGCAGAAAAGCAGTTCTCAAGAGAAGGCAGCCAGATAAGCCCAAAGCCCCTTCTATTTGGGCTTGGAAGAGATGGAACTGTGGACAATGATGTGGGAGCCAGCAAACTAGAATCCTACTTACTAGTTCTCATTATTTTGGGTGGCTTTATTTTCCTAACTGGTCTCATCTTGAGTTAATATGGCCCAAGGCTCCTCGACAATCCAGAGATCATGGGTGTGGGAGGGGGCCAAAGTCACAAAGCAGAAAATTGAAAGTCAACTACAGTTCAGGGCAATGGAAAGTGTGGTAAGGTCCAGGCCAAGTCCCAAAGTCCAGGCCCAGGGAGTGTTGTTAGGAGTCCAAGGCAGTGGGGAGAGCAAAGGTATGGAGGAGGGAAATCAGGAGGGTGACCCTAACCCTGGGCTAAGCACAGGGAGCTCAGAGTCTACAATGGACATAGCCACACACCCAGTCAAATGTGGCTGAAAGTTTCTGTGGGCTGGTTAGCACCCTGACTCCTCTTATGACCCCAAAAACTGTTACAAAAAAAATTCATCCAAAAAAACCAAAAAACCCCAACCCTCTCTCTCCCCCCTTCAATTCAGTCCCTAGTCTGGGAGCAGATTAAGACAGGTGAAAGCACATACTCATCTCAAGTGGTCTAGGGGAAGAAAGGAGGTGGGAGTCAGGGGGAGATGATCATGAGCACTGGACCTCCCTCTGATAGTCCTGCCTCCATCACGTGTGACCTTCAGCAAGCCACTGTCTCATTCACCCTCAGCCGCTTATTTGTAAAATGGGAATAACAATGCTTACACTATCTCCTCCTTGTAAGGCCAGCATTTTGCCAATGGTTCCACAGAGGCCTCATCTCTGAGATGTAGTGCTCCCTCCCACCCCAACCACTCTGTCATTTGCTATGTCTAGAATCAGGCAAGTCTAGGCATGGGACAGGGCAGGGAGCTGGACCGTGGGGGGAGGAAGGACAAAGGCAAGCAGCAGCTTCCCCCTCTCTCCCCCTAAGCCCAGAAGGGAGGGATCGGTCGAGCTGTACGTTGGAAGGACTGAGGCCAGGCGAGGAGCGGGCAGGGCAGGGAAGAGCATCAGGAAGTTATAGCTCTTACTTGTGGTTGGTGGGTTGGCATCTGCCCCAGCGTTAGGAAGAAACAGACAGCGTCTGAGTTTATCAGCTGCTGAGAGGCCAGACACCCCAGGGGCAGCATTCCTTGTCCTTCCCTCCTACCTCCTGTACTCACAGAACCAACCCACCCTGGCTGGCCCTGGAATAGCTCAGTGCCCCCCCCCCCGACCCCTTCCTACAACCCTCCCTACCAACCAGGCAAAGACAGAGGTTTGTGTAGCGTGTATGTGGTATAATAAAGAGATGCCCCTCTTTATGTACCCTCAGCGGGGCAAAGTGTAAAGAACATGAAATAGGGACCGAGAAGACCAGGGTTCTAGTCCTGGCTCTGCCACTGATTATCTGTTTGACACTGGCAAAGTCATCTCCCCTCCAAGGTCTTCAGTTTCATTGTCTGTACAATGAGGGAATTGGGGTGGGATAGTCTCTAAGAGCCCCCCAGCTCCGACATTCTCTGCTCTAAAGGCCCCCCCAGCTCTGACATTCTCTGTTCTAAGGGTCCTCCCAGTTCTGACATTCTGTGCCCCAAGGGCCCTCCCAGCTCTGACATCCTGTGTTCTAAGGACCCTTCCACTTCTAACATTTTATGTTCTAAGGGCCCTCCCAGCTCTGACATTCTCTGTTCCAAGGGTCCTCCCAGCCCTGGCATTCTGTCCCAAGAGCCCTCCCAGCTCTGATATTCTGTGTAAGAGCCCTCCCAGCTCTGACATCCTGTGTTCTAAGGGCCCTCCCAGCTCTGACATTCTCTGTTCTAAGGGCCCTCCCAGCCCTGGCATTCTGTCCTAAGAGCCCTCCCAGCTCTGACATTCTGTGTCCTAAGGGCCCTCTCAGCTCTGACACCTTCTGTTCTAAAATCCCAAGATTCCATGACTCCCTGTTAGCTCCATCCGTCTTAAGCAGCCAGCTTGCCTTTCCCCTCCCTCCCCATCCCTGCCTCAATGGCTGAGACAAGAAAGTTCCCTAGCTTCAGTTGCTGAGCCACCCAGCCAGGGAAGTTAAGGGTCCATATGGCAGCAGCATCAAACATTCCAAAGGGCAGCTACTGCTCTGGGGACACCGAGATGGCATGATGTAACAGAGAGGTCTCCCACGAGCTACCGTATGGATCCTTTACCCTGATGTGTGCACGTGGTCCTCTCTCTCCCCTCTCAGCAGCAGTAGGCTCCTTGAGGGCAGTATCATTTTGTGGTCATTTCTGTGTCCCTAGCATAGCACCCGGCATTCAGCAGGCAGTTAATAATGGCTCATTCAAATGAATTACCTTTTACTTTTTTGCTTTCTGTGGTGGCATTTTCTTCTGGAGGATTTCTCTTGTTCAAGCGTTTGGCTGGCATGTTGGAGACCTGAAAAAAATCAAAGCCAAGGCCTTATTAATCACTGGCACTCCCAATAACATGTCTGGGCCTTGCTGTGAGGCAAGAAGGGTGGGAGGACCCAGGCTGTCTAATTTGCAAGAGACTCTGGGTATTTAGGAGTGCAAACGAGGGAATGAAAGGTCTGTAGGCAAAGATGGGGTCTGAAGGCAAGCTTGTCAATGCTGGCTCTTGTTGAGGGCATTAGCAAAGCGATGATCGCCATGACAACTAGGCCTGGACCCCCAGCTACTGAGCAAAGCAGGAGTGGCAGGAAGACATGCCTTGTCTTCCATGATTGCTGGAGTCGTGTACTGGTCCATCCATTTTGGAAAGAAAGGCCAGTAGAAATTATGCTCCAATAGTGACCTAACAAAGAAGAGGAGAAAGGAGATTCTCAGAATAATTGCCAATGCCAATTACCCCAAGAAAAAATGCTTGGAATCACTAACAGAAATGCAAATCAGAACAACTCTAAGGTTTCCTCTCACACTCCAGAAATTGGCAAAGCGAACAAAGGATGGCCAATAATCAATGCTGGAGGAGCTTCGGAAGGACAGGGGTTGGGAGTGGAGCTGTGGATTGGTCCAAGCATTCTGGAAAGGAATTTGGAAGGATGCAAGTCTTCCTAGCTCCACAGCCAGCTGTCTATGAGTTAACACAGTGGCTCCACCAAAAAAAAAAAAAAAAAGAAAAAAACGCAATATTGCACTGTAAGAAATGACAGCAGATTAAATTTTAGAAAAACATGGCAAGATTTGAATGAAATAATGCAGAGTGAAATGAGCAGAACCAAGAGAATTTTGTATACTATAACAGAAATCCTGGTTGAAGAAAAACTGTGAAAGACTAAGCTATTCTGAGCAATATGATCATTCGAATCAAATGCAAAGGACTTATGAAGGAAGATGCTATCCACCTCCAGAGAAAAGAAGTATGTATTGTATGATTCCACATATAGATCTATATCAAATGTCGGTCTTCTCTAATGTGGGACTGGGACTCGAAACTCAAAATGTAAGAAAAAAATAAAATAAATACTAAAAAATATTTGCAGCTGCACTTTTGGGAGGCAGCAAAATTAAAAGTAAACAAGCTACAGGACACAAACATTACAGAATCATAAGAAACAAGGACTACAAGGAATTTAGTGAAATTTGTGAAGACTTAGAAGAGTCGTAGGCTGATGCAGGATGAAGTAAACAGAACCAAGAGAATGCTGGATACCACCTCTACAACAGGCGGGAAAACACCAGAAAAGACATCAGAACTGACACTGGGGTAGTGACCAATTCTGACTCCAAAGGACTGATCTGGCCAGAGATGGCAGACTACAGGCACACACTATCAGACAAGGTGAATGGTTAGATCTGTTTTGCTCAATTGTGTCGTGTTTTTTTTTTTTTACTTCCAAGAGAGGAGGGGATAATGAGAAGAGACAGCAATGTCGAAAACCAGCATCAGCACTTTTAATATTTCTTTTTTTAAAATTTATCAACAATCACTTCCATAAGCTTTTGAGTTTTAAATTTTTCTCCCTCTCCCTTCCCACCTCCTTCCCCAAGACGGCACGCAATCTGATATAAGCTATACATATACATTCTTATTAAATGTATTTTCACATTAGTGATGCTGTAAGGAAGAATTACAACCAATAGAAGGAACCACCAGAAAGAGGAAACAAAACACAACAGAAGAAAAAAATAGCAGATATTATGCTTCAATCTGCATTCAAACTCCATAGTTCTTTCTTCTTTGTGGATAGCATGTTTCATCATGAGGCTTTTGGAGATGTCTTAGATTCTTGTATTGCTGAGAAGGGTTCAATACTAGTCATCACACAACATGGCCATTGCTATGTATAACATTCTCCTGGTTCTGCTCACTTTACTCAGCATCAGATCATACAAGTCTTTCCAGGTTTTTCTGAAGTCAGCCTGTTCATCATTTCTTATAGCACAATAGTATTCCATTACATTCATATACCACAACTTGCTCAGCCATTCCCCAATTGATGGGCATCCCCTCAATTTCCAACTCTTTGCCACCACAAAAAGAGCTGCTATAAATATTTTTGTACATGTGGGTCCTTTTCCCATTTGTATGATCTCTCTGGGATATAGCCCTAGAAGTGCTAGTACTGGGTCAAAGGGTATGCACATTTTTATAGCCCTTTGGGCATAGTTCCAAATTGCTCTCTAAAATGGTTGGATCATTTCACAACTCCACCAACAACGCATTAGCGTTCCAATTTTCCCACATCTTCTCCAACATTTATCATTTTCCTGTTTTGTCATGTTGGTCATTCTGATAGGTGTGATGTGGTACCTCAGAGTTGTTTTGATTTGCATTTCTCTAATCAATAGTGATTTAGAGCATTTTTTCATATGACTATAGATGGCTTTAATTTCGTCTAAGAACTGCCTGTTCATATCCTTTGGCAATTTATCAATTGGAGAATGGCTTGTATTCTTATAAATTTGACTTAATTCTCTATGTATTTTAGAGATGAGGCCCTTATCAGAGAGACTGGTTGTAAAAATTCTTTCCCAATTTTATACTTTCCTTCTAATCTGGGTTGCATTGGCTCTGTTTGTACAAAAACTTTTCAATTTAATGTAATCAAAGTTATCCATTTTGCTTTTTGTAATGTTCTCTATCTCCTGTTTGGTCATGAATTCTTCTGTTCTCCATAAATATGATAGGTAAACTATTCTTTGCTCTCCCAGTTTGCTTACAGTATCAGCCTTTATCTCTAAGTCATGAACCCATTTTGACTTTATTTTGGTATATGGTGTGAGATGTTGATCTATGCCTAGTTTCTGACATAGTCTTTTCTAGTTTTCCCAGCAGTTTTTGTCAAACAGTGAATTCTTATCCCAGAAGCTGGGGTCTTTGGATTTATCAAATAATAGATTACTATAGTCATCGACTACTGTGTCTTGCATACTTAACCTATTCCACTGATCCACCACTCTATTTCTTAGCCAGTACCAAGCAGTTTTGATGATTGCTGCTTTATAATACAATTAAAGATCTGGAATGGCTAGGCCACCTTCCCCTGCATTTCTTTTCATTAGTTCCCTTGATATTCTAGACCTTTTGTTCTTCCAAATGAATCTTCTTATTATTTTTCTAACTCTATAAAATAATTTTTTGGTAGCTTGATTGGTATGGCACTGAATAAGTAAATTAGCTTAAGTAGAATTGTCATTTTTATTATATTAGCTCGTCCTACCCATGAGCAACTGATGTTTTTCCAATTATTTAGATCTGACTTTATTTGTGTGAAAAGTGTTTTGTAATTGTGTTCATATAGTTCCTGGGTTTGTTTCAGTAGGTAGACTCCTAAATATTTTATAATGTCTACAGTAACTTTAAACAGAATATCTCTTTCTATTTCTTGCTGTTGGGCTTTGTTGGTAATATATAGAAATGGCAATGATTTATGTGGGTTTATTTTATAGCCTGCAACTTTGCTAAAGTTGTTTATTATTTCAAGAAGTTTTTTACTTGATTCTCTAGGATTCTCTAAGTATATCTTCATATCATCTGCAAAGAATGATAGCTTTGTTTCTTCTTTGCCTATTCTAATACCTTCAATTTCTTTTTCTTCTCTTATTACTACACTTTGAATATTTCTTAATCAAGGCTGAGTTTGACTAGGCCAGGTCTCTATCCACTATGCCATGATGCTGCCTCTCTCTATCATGATCCTAATTCCAGTGTCAATGGTGCTTTAAGGTTTACGAAACACTTTCCTCACAACAACCCAGGCAGTACCAGCAAATATCATCTCCATCTTACAGATGAGAAAACCTCGGTTCTGAGGTGCAGGGACTTGTCCAGAGCTAAAGAGCATTTGAGTTGCACTCTGGTATAATGGGACTCCAAAAAGAGCATGCTTCCCTTTATCAAGTCAGTTGGCCGTCCATCTTCCCCTGACAGCTGGGCCCTGGGGTAGTCAATCCACCCATCTTTGTAACTCCAGCCCCGGGGTTCAGCTGTCTAGACTGGGGAGTGAGAACAAACTCATCTTGTCCACTTTGTCTGGCCGGTCCCAGACAAGGCTTGCCATCCCAACCAACTGGTCATCCCTGGCCATCTCGCCACCCACCCCGCTGCTGCCATTTTCAGGCTATCTCCACCTCCTGCTCTGGGCAGAATCAAATCAATGTCATCATCATGAATTCTGAAAAGAGCACATTAATCAGCCGTCTAGTGGATCAACTAATCTTCCAAGAACACTCTCCCATTAAGTAGTTTCCCCCAGTAGAAAGTAAGGTCCTTGACTGTCTCACCTTTGAATGGGCATTCCAAGCCTTTACTAACATGTTTTAAGGGTTCACCAAATGCTCCTCCACTCCTTCCCTCCCTTCTCTCCTCTCCCAGACTGCTTCGAAACCTCCTCGATTTTCTTAGAAGACACTTGACTCATGGGGCTATTTTCTCCTTACCTACCAAATCTAAAAAGTAGAGAAGGAAGAACTTTGGCCAAACCCATTCTCTGTCTCTGAACTCATCTGTAATGCACAATTAACAATAATAACAGCTAACATTTACATGATACTTAACTATGTGCAAGGCGTTGAGCTAAGTGCTTTACAAATATTACCTCATCTGATTCTCACAAAACTGCGGTACTTATTACTCCCCCATTCTACAGTTGAGGAAACTGAGGCAAAGAGTAGTTAAGTGACTTGCCCAGGGTCACACAGCTAGTAAATATCTGAAGCCTGATTTGAACTCAGGTCTTCTTTACTCCAAGCTTGGCACTCTACCCACTGCTCCACCTAGCTGCCAGTTAATTAGAACTTTGTTATATATGGGTCTGGTTGCCTTGTGGCTCTATGTGTCTTAACAACAAGAATAATGTGCTCAGTATCAGGGATACAAAAAAAGGCAAAAGAAGGTGCCTGACCTCAAGGATCTTACATTCTAAAGGAGATAACACAGGGAAAAGTATGTATACACACACACACAAGCATATATATACACAAATACAGTAAAAATGGAAGGTAATCTCAGAAAGTAGGAGTGTCTGAGGGGAGGAAAGGGACTGGGAAAGGCTTCCTGCAGAAAGAGGACTTTGACTTGAGTCTTGAAGGACATCAGGGACACCAAGAGGTGGAGACAAGGAGGGAGAACACGCCAGGCATGAGGGACAGCCAAGGCTAAAGCAAGGAATTGGGAAATGAAGTAGTGGATTTGAGGACACCAAGAAAGCCAGTGTTCCTGCTCTGCAGAGTTGCAGAAAAAAGTGATTGTAAAAGGACCGGAAAGGGAAGACGCAGGTTGTAAAATGATTTAAATGCTCAAACAGAAGATTTTCTACTTGATCCTAGAGATGACAGGGCCACTGGAATTTCTGGAATGGATGGGAAGAGTTACACAGTCAGACGTGTGCTTTAGGAAAATCATTTTGAAGGCCAAGTAGAGGATGGAGCGGATTGGCGAGAGAATTGGGGTGGGGAGGCCAATGAAGCCACCCAGGAGAAAGGTGATGAGGGCCTGCACCGAGGGGCAGCTGCATGAGTGGAGAGAAGGGGAGGCACGTGAGAGACGTGAAGGTGACAAGCCTGAATATGGGATCAGTGTAAGTGGGGAGTCAAGGATGAGACCGAGGTTTCCAGCCTAGGCAACTGAGGGAATAGAGGTGCCCTTCACAGTAACAGGGCAGTCTAAAAGAGGGAAGGGTGTGGGACAAAGACAATAACATCTATTCTAGACATAGTGAGTTTGAGCTGCCATCCAATCTGAAGTGCCCAAAAGGCAGTTTGATGATGCTCGATTAGAGCTCAGGAGAGAGACTAGGGCTGGGCACATGGATCTGGGAATCATTTCATGTTCTCAAGTCTCTCTCCCATCCATTCCAGGCTCTAAGGTCTTTTCTAACTCTGACATTCATAAAATGGGCATTTAACAAGTCCCAGGCACGTGAGTATATACACAGAGAAAAACAAAACCATCCCTGGCCTCAGGCAGTTAACATGCAGCTCAGGCAATCTCAGTTCTAAGGTCTCAATTCATTTACATGGCAATATTTCAGGTCACCTTCAAATCTCCCCAAGGCTCCAGCCCTTTAGAGCCAGGAGATCCCACCAAAATACATTCACACCTGGAAGCCTGAAGGCAGGACATATATGTTAGGGTGTGTATACATACACACACACACACACACACATACACTCTCTCTCTCTCTCTCTCTGGCTAAAGGGCCTCATACTCTACACACAACTGTGCTTCAGGACTCACCAGCACACCATTGTCCCCCACCTTCTCCACCTCCTGCCCCTCGATTTTTTCCCTGCACACCTCCCTCTACAACCATCCTGTTGTCTGGTGCTCTACCCATCAAAGAATCACACATATCAGGAGGCCTTGGAAACAACCTAATCCCCACACCACCATTTCCATTCCCCACTTCTTTGCTGAATGCCTCTCATCACTTTCTATAGATAAGGAAACTGACACTCTGAGAAGAGGAACAAGCATTTAAGTCAGAAGCCTCATCTTCCTGAATCCCAATCCTACCTCAGACATGTACTAGCTGTGTGACCGTGGGCAAGTCACTTCACCCTGTTTGCCTCAGTTTCCTCACCTGTAAAATGATCTGGAGAAAGAAATGGCAAACTGCTCCAGTATCTCTGCCAAGAAAACCCCAAAGGGGGTCACAAAGAGCCAGATACAACTGAACGAGTGCTGCAAAGACCCCCAAAGACTCTTTAAAACAAGAGTCGGACAAGATGGTCTCCAAGTTCCCTTCCAGGTCTGGGATTTTAGGACTGCAGTTCTGACCTTCTCTGATGCAAGAAACAATGGATAAACGACAGAAGGGCTGCCCTGCTTCTTGATGGACAACTGGTCATGTTCAATCAAACCATGGCTGGGCACATATTTTGGGTCTGTCCCACCTGCCTGAATGCCCCTTTCTCAGGCACTCTCACCCCAGAGTCATCTGCCTTCCTCCTTGCCCTCTTCATCAGAAAAGCAAGTTCCCTCCCTATCCCTCCAAAGGAGGGCTTTGGTGTGGTAGAAATAACACAAGGCTGACACTGAGTAACCCTTAGAAGCTTCAGTCCCCTCCCGCCCTCTGAGGAAGCCAGACCAGATGGTCTCAGAAGGCCTTTCCATGAGCCTTAAAAATGAACTACTGTTCTCCTGCAAGGCTCTCTACACACTGGCTCTCATTTGGCAGGAAATTACTGTAAACTCTGACAGTCTTCAGCTGTTTGGCCTCAAGAGGCAGTCTTCTCCCCACCTCCTGGCCTGTCTCAGGCTGAAAAAAAAAACCTATTTGTGTGAAAAGTTCCCCTGGGGAAGGACATGGTTGAGAAAGACTTTGGAAGCCCCTATAATAGAGCTCTGGCTGAGGTCTCTGAAGGCAGGCAAATGGACAGTGGCCTGGACCTAAAGGGTGAATTAAGAGGACTCAAAAGTAGATATCACGATGGCCCAGTCCTTCCATCTCATAAAACTACGTTGCTCCACCTAGCTTCTTGACCTTAACGGCCCTTCACAGAATCTGAAGAACTGGAAAAGGCCTCAGGGACTATGTAACCTGACCTGCTTCCTTTACAACAAAGGAAACTGAGGCTGTGAAGGGAAGGGGACGCTACCAAAAGGAACAGGAGCCCAGATCTCCTGTCTCTTCTCGACTAGGATGGTGTCTTTCTAACTTGTATACCCAGAAGGCTTTAGACTAAAACGAAGACCTCTCAAAATCACGGCTGCCACGAGGCCCCTGGCCGGCCGTGAGATACTCTAGCAACATAATGTCTCACTCATCTAGGAGGACGGGAGTGAAAAAGAATGCAACCCCCGACCCAGGTCACAGCCAATGGAAGAAAGGGTACCTTTGCTAAAACAGGCGTGCAAAAGTATACATGGCAAAGCCTCTGCGCTGCAGCTTGCAGGCCGGACAGCAGTCGGACCCTCCCTCCAGCGTCCTCTCTTCCCCTTCTCCCCCCCCGTTTCCCGCGACTCAGACAGCTATTTGAAATTTCCCGCCTGGCGCAAGCGCCCAAAGGGAGGACCCTCTAAGACATCATGCGGAGGGAGAGCACGAACGAGCTCTTCCACCAGGGGAAAGGGCTGCGGGAGCAGCTGGTGGCCAGCTGCAGCTGACGGTCGGGGGCTACCAGGGAACTTTCCCAGGCACGTTCCAAGCCCGGTGCACGCGCCTTTTCCGGGACGTTCGGAGCGGGGGGGGGGGGGGGGGCAACGCACGCGCGCCTTTCCCGGGCACGTTCCAAACCGGGCGCACAAGCTTCACCCGGGGACGTTCCAAGCGGGCGCACGCGCCTTTCCCCGGGACGTTCCAAGCGGGCGCACGCGCCCGGGGACGTTCTGAGCGAGGCAGACGCCGCGCGCGCACGAGACGCTTGCAGCCTCGAGAAGCGGCAGCCCGGGGGAGGGGGTGTGCACACGCGGACGCCGCTTCCTCCTCCAACGGGCTTCACGTGGAGCCGCGCGGCGCGGAACTCGTCCACCCCTGCCGCTGCCAGGCGTCAGTCCCCCGCCCGCCCACCACGCGGCCGGCAGAAGCCGGGCTTGTAGCCTTACCCGCCCGACTCCCAGCTCGGTCCTACAGACTAGATCCCAGGATGTTTTTACCTCAATCCAGGTGGACCAAACGGAACTCCCCTACTCTCCAGACCGGGCCGCGAACTGCTCTCACGCATGCGCCTTGCAGTCTCCGCTCTTGCGGGGCGGGAGAATGGGAGAGAGAAAAACTCAGCGACCCCTGCTGGCTAGCCCCGGAAGTGCACCCGGCTGGTTTCGGCTGAGCGAGTTTATCCAGATATTGATTCAGATGGAGGGAGTCACCGCCCTCCTCCCAAGATAGGAAGCTCAGACCTTAACCCTGGGCAAGTCACTTAACTTCTGTTTGCCTGTTTTCTCAGCTGCAGAATGGGGGTGAGAATAGCATCTGCTACCAGGGTGATCGTGAGGACCAAATGGCCCAGCGCTTAGCACAATGCCTGGCAAGTAGTAGGAGCTTACCAAATGTTTATGGAATTGAAAATGAGATTGTATTTGTAAAGTGTTTATACAGCACACAGTACCTGGCATATTGTAGGAGAGGTTAATAAAAGCTTGTTCCTCTTTCCTTGCTTCCTTCAAGACTCATAACCTAAGATACAGGATGAGATCATCCCTTGCGTTACCTGTTAATTTGTCAAGCTTCCTCTGACCGCCTTTTAGATAGAATAATTTTTTTTTTTTAGGCAGTTGGGGTTAAGTGTTAAGTGACTTGCCCAGGGTCACACAGCTAGTTAAGTGTCAAGTGTTGGGTCTGAGGTCGAATTTGAACTCAGGTCCTCCTGACTTTAGGGCCGGTGCTCTATCCACTGCACCACCTAGCTGCCCCTAGATGGAATTGTTAAAGTCCCTTCCAGCTCTTAATCTTATGGCACATCAAAGAGAGCCCTAGCTCTGGAGCCAAGGAAATCCTGCCTCAGATTAACCTCATATTAATTTGTAATACGGAATGGCTGAACAAGCTGTGGTATATGAATGTAATGGAATACTATTGTGCTATAAGAAACGATGAACAGGCTGACTTCAGAAAAACCTGGAAAGACTTGAACTGATGCTGAGTGAAGTAAGCAGAACCAGGAAAACGTTATACACAGTAACAGCCACATTGTGCGATGACTAATATTGATAAACTTAACCCTTCCCAGCAATACAAGAATCTAAGACATCTCCAAAGGCCTCATGATGGTAAATGCTATCCACATCCAAAGAAGGAAATATGGAGTTTGAATGCAGATCGAAGCATACTATTTGCTATTTTTTTTCCTTCTGTTGTGTTTTGTTTCCTCTTTCTGGTGGTTCTTCCTATTGGCTCTAATTCTTTCTTACAACATCACTAATGTGAAAATACATTTAATAGGAATGTATATGTATAGCCTATACTGTCTTGGGGAAGGAGGTGGAGAGGAAGGGGGAGAAAAATTTAAAACTCAAAAGCTTATGGAAGTGATTGCTCATAAATTAATTTTTTAAAAATCTGTAATATGAAGGTATGGGATTGGACTGTTTGGCCTCTGAGGACCCTACCATCTCTGAGAAATGCACATGATCCCCAAATGCTACCTCTCATCTCTCTCTGTGCAAAATCACATTCAATGCCCCAGTTATCCCAGCTTTATTCATCTTTGTTCCTATGCCTGTAAATGCACACCCCTCCCAATCTTCTCCTAAACTTTGGAGATGAATTTTTCCCAATACTCCACTATCTAAAGATGGAATGCAAAGAATTCCCATCATTTCCCATCTGGCTACTTTTCTGATTCTTATCATCTAATCATTCTATACAATGAAATCTACTCAAAAACTCATACCTCCTTCAGCACCCCTGGGGCCCCTCCTTTCCTCTGATTGCAGAGGATGGATGGATGTTGGAGATCTTGTCCACCATTTAAAAGGATGGCACCCAGGGAATTCATCCCATTTCCCACCCAGCTACTTGGCTAGGCTTCAACACCTCCAGGAACTCACCATTCTGCAAGATGAATTTAACTCAAAATTCACAACTCCGATAATTTCCCCATCCTTCTGTAGGGCTGGGCAGAGTTGAGGTAATACCCTCCTCACTCCCATTTGTAGCTTTTTAGTATTGTGATCTTTCTAAGGGCAGGGACTGTCTCATATCTTTCTCTGTATCCTCGGTGCTAGGCAGTGCTCTGACCTGTAGGAATCCCACCAAGGCAGTAAGGTCTAAATCAAATGGCACGGCTGTCAGGGAGGCCCTCATCGGGAGTGATCCCTTCTTTGCTGACTCTCAAAGCACAATGTACATTTCATGAATCAGTCAGTTATTTTGCATATATTCACATGGCTGATGATTGCCTACTAAACTTGGAGCTCCCTGAATGAAAGGATGGTCCTATTTTTTATTTTTTCACAGGAAGCACAGGACCCTCTACATAGTATAAGTACTTTATGTTTGTTGAATGCATGAATTCTGTAATTGAGGTAAGGTGAAGTTTCTTTTATTTTAAAGATAGGTTGCCTGTGCTTTGGATTATCTCTTCCTGCCCTCCCCCCCATGCTGATTGCTCTATCACATTCTCCCTCCCCAATGTTTTCCACCTTTCCCTTTAAGGATGCCCATGTCAGCTATCCCTTGGGCCCTCCTCCCTTTTGTCAACCCCAGAGTTTGGTCTAAGAAGGACAAACAGAATTAGGTTGTATGCATGATTTATTTCTCTCGATTTATTTCTCTCAAGCTGGTGGCATGCATGCGGAGCTGCAGGTACAACTGAGCTCTATTTAGGGTTAGGTTTCACAGAGTATAGAGACATAACCGCAAAGCTGGGTGGAAATGGCCTTCTTCTGGCCCAGGCAGGTACTGCCACCATTCCTCGGGTTTGGTTTCCATTTCCCAGAATTTTCCATTTCACAGAAGTCAAGAGACGCCCTCTGGTACAGGGAACAAGGAAGAGGGTGAGGATGGAAAGTCCCCAGAGTCCAAGGGTTGGATGAGGCAGTGGAATGCTCCTTGCTGCTTCAGGTTTGGCCTTAAAGCAGTCAGGGAAAGCAAGGTTTAAAGGGGCAGAGCCTTACTCTTCCTCAGAGAGTGGGAAGGGAAGTTCTAGTAGCCCTTGCCTGTTTGACCAGAGGTCTGCCTGTCTTCACATTCTCCCCTTTTGGATCAAAGGAAGGAACAAAACGTGTCCTGCAGACCAAGGAGGCACAATTACAGGCAGGGTAATGTTATTCACCTGGGTGGCAGAGGATTTATGGGCTAAGGCCAGCCCCACTGAGCCCCAAGAAAGATGAAAGCAAGGGCAGAAAGTATCCCAATGGCAGAAAGGAGGAAGGATATGATCAAACCGGCCCACTACAGGGGAAAGGGAGCCAAACATGGCATACCACTGGGTCCCTGTGGCCTGTTCCCTTAACTGGTTAGCAAGAGCACGAAGTCGGTCTATGCTATCCTATATCTTTTGGGAGTTGTTAACATAAAAACAGCATTCCTTATTGAGGAAGGCACAGACACCCCCCTGGGCTTCTAGATCTCTCCAGCTGTTCATGTTAGCTATCTGTCAGGACAAATTCTTGAAAACCTCATTTGTGGAAATCAGACCTCCTACTCCAGTCCCTGTATTGGCCAGGATATTGCCACCTACCATGAGAGATTGGGCCTGGACTGTGTGCCGGGAGCGGTGGGATATGACCCAGATGTGGGAATCGATGGTCACAAGGTCCTGGGGATTCAGAGCTACCAGGGTGATGCCTGCAATATATACCAGAGGTCGGGCCCGGCACCAATGATGGTACATAGCCCAGTCCACTAGGGAGGGAGAGGCTGGTAAAGGGAGGTTCCACAAAAACACCATGCCTAGGGATGATGATAGGGTAGGGAGAACGTAAGGGAGCCAGGGAACCAGCTGACAGAGGCCTTCTTACGCGTGCCCTCACCACCCGAGTTCCTGGGGGAGGTGTCATTGTACAGGGGCCAGGAATGAGACAGCAGCAGGCCCACAGAAGGGTTCAGACAGGGATCATTAGGGGAGCCGCTGGATGTGGGCCTGTACCCGTGTTCCGCCCAGCAGTACCCCTGCTACCTCTGTTCTGTCAGGCCAGAGCTTCAGGTAGGCCTCGACAGAGAAAGTGGTATTAACCAGGAACCAATCCCTGTGACAGGGAGCAGCACCTAACCCAGCGGGTCAACCTGAGCAGAACTGGGAGTCAGGGGCCCCTTGGGTGGTACTGGTTCCTAGGATCCCAGGAGAAGGCAGGGCTATGTACCATGAAGTCAGTTCCCCTCCAGCGGCTGACTCAGGTTCACCAGGACAAACCCAAACGGTGTAGTTGAACCAGGTCAGACCTAGGTCCCCTACAGGGGTTCCAGAGGTGTGATTTGTTAGAGCAAAAAGCAGCAGGGGGGCTTAAGAGACCCAGGTGGCTCCAGTGAAAACAAGGCCCTGCGTGCTGTTGAGGGCTAGGCAGATGCAGGTTTTGCCTGAGTCCGGAAGTAGGGGGCACTGAAGAGGGTGTTGAATTCCTGAGAAGACCAGGTTTGCTTAGTTTCCTGGGCCTCATACATCTTGCTGTCTGGGACATTCTCTGAGAGTCTAAGACATTTATTGGGGTGGGCTTGGGCTATCAATTCAGTAGACCCCCAGTCATTGGCAGAGAAAGGTTGCACTGAAGTGGGTCAACACACAGCCAACAGTTGGACAGGTTAAACAGCCTGCCGGCCTCCTGGCCCAGCCTCTGCATGGGGTGAGCGGGTGTGGAGGAAGGGAGGTTGTCCTTTCCTTGTAATTGGGTGCCCTCAGAGATGAGTAGCCATTGCAAGACAACCATAAGCAAGTGGAAGGAGCAGGCGGAAAGGAAGCCCAAGGTAGGGGGAGTGAGGGGCATGGTGGAAGAAAATGAGAGCCAAAGCAAACCAGAACCAAACGTAGGGTGGCAAAGAGATATGGGCAAATGGCATATGACTTGTGAAGATGAAGAAAAAAAGGGGGGAGGGGACTCTCGCAGGCCTGGCCCAGATTCTTGGGGGGATGCCTCAGATGCTGTCTTCTTCAGGCCCTTACAAAGCTGGGCAAGGCCTCCAGGGGGTTCAGATGTCCACTCAGGAGCAGGGGCAGTCTTTAGGTGACAGATGAATCCACAAGTCTGTCCCCTGGAGTATGGTGGCAGTGGAGGTTGTGAGTAGCACCTAGAAAGGCCCCTTCCACCTGGGTTCCAGGGAGTGTTGCTGAAGATAGCGTTTCTGGTATACCAAATCACCAGGGGATAGGAGACTGGTTTCAGGCAGCAGACCTAGGGAACGAGGCTGACAAGATCTTGAACCTGATGAATCTGTTAACTAAACTTGACACAATATTCCCAAAGACAACTCGATGTGAGTTGGGAGAGATCTGTGGGGGTGAAGGGCATTGGTCTCCCAGTGATGACCTCCTACGATCTTGCCTACAGGTTGTGACTGGAGGGCAAGGAAGGCAATGGGGCATACCTTGACCTAGGGTACCTGGAGTCCAGAGGTCAGTTTCCCAAGTAATTCCTTCAACACGCTCTTAGTTTAGTTCTCTCTGCCAGCCCCTGAGGACTGAGGGTGGTAAGCACAAAGTAAGTACTGGCGGATTCCCCAGGTCTCCAGGATTGCCCTGAGCCCCTGGCTTGTAAAATGGGTTCCCAGATCACTATGAACCTCCCGTGGGATCCCCCAAAAGGGATTTTGTGTTCACACGGGGCCCTCCATACCATCCCCGTGGTGGTCATCCATTACAGAAAAACCCCCATGAAGCTGGAAAACATGTAGGCCATAACCAGGGTGAATTTAATATCCTCAGCATGGAGGCAGCTAGAAGTCAATCTGCCAGATCTCAAAGGGCAAAGTGGGGAGCAGAAAGCAGCCTTGGGGAGGCCTGAGGGGTTTGGAGGGTTTGTACAGAAGACAGAACTGACCATTGGACACCACATCCTCAGCCTTTTGTTTGGGTATTCCCCACCAGTGTTGACAAGCAAGTTCACAAAACTTGTCAGGTCAGGCAGGTGGCTCCACAGTGGCCGGTGTAGCTGGTGGGGGAGGACAACTCAGTGTCCGTGTTTCCAAAGCCCCATTTCAGAGTCTCAGGCACATCCTTGTAGTTCCCATTGGTGTCCTGTCTCTGGAGAGACCGGGGCTTGAGCCTCTGTTAAAGCTACTAGATCAGTAGGTGGGGGTGCAGCGGGTGAGGTGCAGGAGACCATTACAAGCACCAGAGGTGGGAGGGCTGCCTGGTCAGCCAGTAGATTCCCTCAGGCATGGATTCACAAGAGTGACCAGTAGTTTTGACAACAGCCACCTGCTTGGGGAAAAACACACATCCCAGTAACCTGGAAGCCTGATTACTGTTCTTTTTGAGCTGTCTGGTGGAGGTTAAGGATCTTCATTGCTTCCACAGCATTCCAAAGTCACGGGCCACCCCAAAGGAACACCTGCTGTGTAGATGTTAATTTTCAGTCCCTTTCCCAGTTCACAGGCCCCTGACATTGCTTCTAACTCTGTCTGTTGTGCAGAGAGAGCATAGGGCAGGGGACCTGACTCCAGGACCTCATAACCTGCTACCACTTGTCCCTTGGAGCTCCTTAGGCAGGAGCCACCCGTGAAAACTGTGAGGTCGGCAAGTGGGCTGGGTGTCTCTTGGAGGTGGACTCGTGGAGTCAGAAGGCAGTCCAGGATCGTGATGGAGTCATGGCTCATGGGCTTAGACTTGGGGTTGCTCAGGGACTGGTGTGCTTCAAGGCTAGGGACAGGCCGGGTTTGGTCCGTTAAGCTGTTTTGATCATGACATGGGGCCGCATCGGTACCTGGGTTTCAATTTTTGTAGGTCAGCTGCTTGATGAGTGTCGTAGGAATTTAGGAGGACCTCAGCCACCTGGGGCACAAGAAGCGTTACAGGGAACCAAGTATGATGTTCTCACTTTGGCTGAGAGTCTCAGCTATAGGCAGGGTGGTAGGCTACTGCATCCACTTGTCTGATATCCTGCTGGTCTGTAACAATCCCCGTGTTTCTGTGCTGAGACTCTTACTGCATCCCCTCCTCTTTCCACAGTGAAGAGTGCAAAAGGTAAGGAACTGGGAAGGCCAAGAGCAGGGGGTGGGGGCTCAGATAGGGAGGCCCCGATGGGGTCTATAGCCTTATGCTGTTCTTTGGACAAGCACAGGGGTTGAGGCTTTGGCATCCCAGGACTTCAAATAGGCGGTGGGCTAGGAAAGAAAATTCGGCTGTACAGGATCAGGGCAATATCCAGTGAGGCCCAAGAAAGGATTAAGTTGCTATTTGGACAATGAGAGCGGAAAATTGTGGATAGCCTGGGCTAGTGATCAAGGAAGACAGTATCCTGGGATATGAAGTGATAGAGCCTTATGACTATTCAAAGCGAGAAATGTGAGGAGCCCTATGGCATCTCCCTCCCCTGAAGTTCAGGGGAGCAGAGCGGAAGGTCATCTATACAGTGGAGGAGTTCAGAGCTATAAAGGACAAGAGCCAAGATCATCATGGAGAACTTGGAGAAATATGAGAGATTCACTGAAATGCGGAGGTGTATTGTCATCCTTCTCAAGTAAAAGCAAAAAGGTATTGGCAGGAGGGCTGCACAGGAATAGAAAAGGTGTTGCAGAGGTGAATAGTAGTGAACACAGTAGCAAACAGAAGGATAAGGGATAAGAAAGTGTTGGGATTAGAGACCACAAGGTGATCAAGGTAGAACAATGGTGTTAATGGTATGGAGAACTCAGACAAGGCACCTCCAACCTCAGTTAGCAGGTTTCCTAACAGGGAAGATGTTGTATGGGGAGGTACAAGGGACTGTTAGTCCCTTTGAAATGTAATTCTGGTATAGGGGCCTAGCACCTTCAATGGTGGCTCCAGGAAGCAGGTACTGGGTGAGTCATGGGAGACAACTTGAGGGGTCAACTTATGGGGACAGCCATAGAGAAGTATCCCATTTCTGTATGATCCTTGCCCCATAACTAGGGCCAATACCAATAGTAACCCACACAACATCAGCCCCCCTTGAAGACTAACCACTCTACTTTATTTCAGTTAGAAGTATCCTATGCTGAACACTTGTTCATATGCAATCAATTCAGCACTCAGTTACAGTGTGACAGGCACTGGGCAAAGTCTGCTCCAGCTTATGAGACAACATACACGTCCTGCAGTTGTGAGAATACTATGAAGCATTTATTAGGGGCGTATTGTGTGCAAAGCTCAGGGGTGATCAGGAAGAACTGCAATTGCTGGGGTTTGAGCAGAAGGGACAACATTGGAGTCAGGATAGGAGTGCTGAGAAGGCCAAGCTGAGGTTTACATTTGCTCCTAGAGGCAATAGGGATACACAGGAGTTTAAGCCAACATTTAGTCCCAGGAATAGTTCCCCTACCTTTGTGAATTATCGGTCCACTTGAATATACAATGGTTCTATGACTTTGGCAGGGCATCAGAAAAGGCTTCAGAGCTGAGCGCTCTAAAGTTAAGGATTTTAAATATTAAAACTAAAGAGGGAGGTGCATTCCAAGCATGGGACATACTTGAACAACTGTGACAAAGGAGTTAAATATCAAATACCAGGCTACTATATCTAATCCCAAAGTAAATGGGGGGCTGAAAGCCTTTGAGGATTCATACCTGTGCTTTTAAGATTTTAGTAGCTAAGCAGAGGATTGGTTAAAAGGGGGGGAAATGAAAAAAAAAAGTTCAATTAGAAGGCACTTGGTAGTTTAACATGTAATGAAGGCTCTTAAGCTTGGAATGGTTAACACTTTTGGTCTCTACCTGGACACTTTAGGGAAATGCAGATATTCACATCTCAGGTCATGTCTTTGTAAGCCCCTGGAACTCCTGGTATCAATCTACTATCAAGCACTGTATACCAAGATATACATCCAAATAATTAGCACAGCTTGCCGAGCAGACACTGAATCAAATCAAATACCAACAGGAACCCACACTACATATGGATAGGCATGGCAGCCCCCTTGCAGACCTCCCACTCTAATATATTTATGTGCATTTCCTTTTTTTTCTTGGCAGTCTGACCACACATTGCTACTAAAGCTGAAGGCTGGGACCAGATTATCAAATCCCTACTCCTTAGGACAGGCAGTAGTACTGCTTTCTAGGCTCAGTGAGATTCTGACAACCAGACAAGTTTCTTTTATTAAAGATTATTCATACCTTATGTCAGTACCTGATTACTAGCGAAAAATTGTTTAAAAGTTAAATGGATCAACCATTTTCATTCTAAGGGAGTAAAATCTTATATAGGATACATAAGAATGATGCACAAAATCAATGGGACAAGTAAAATTACAGAATTTATTGAATGTATACACAAAACCTTACAAGTTTTCACATATCTAACATGCAACTTTCAATAACATGTCCTCCTTTCGCTGCAATCACTTGCGTTACACTATTTGGCATGGAATTGACAAGATTTTAACACATTCTGTAATTCATCATGAAACCATACTTTTTTCACATTGGCTATCAAATGTGCCTTTGATGAGCAGTCCATTGGAGAAATCCAAAGTCCAGCTTTGATTCTATCCCACAGGTTTTCAATGGGGTTTAAACCAGGTGAGTTCCCAAGCCACTGAAGCATGTTTATCTCCATCTCATGGATAAATTTATTAACTTTTTGGGAGATGCAGCATGATGCAAGACAGTATTTCACCACTCCATCTCCATCTGAGATTTTCTGCAATTCTGGAGTAACTGTGCTTTTCAATATTTCAATATATTTATCAGAGTTCATTGGTCCCTCAATGGAGACAAGACTTCCAGGCCCACTGCAAGTGAAAAAACCCCAAAACATTTCCACATAAACTTGAATGAAAAAGTGAGTTTTATCATTAAAAATGACCTTTTTCCAATTTTTAACACTCCAGTCTTTGTATTGTCATGCCCACACAGCTGTGGTTAACAGCTGCTTTCTTACTGGTATTCTGGATGATCTGCCAATCTCAAGGAGCCTACAACGCACTGTTGAAAAATCAGTGACAACTCCTCCAGTGGCCAGGTCCCTCTGAAGGTCTGGCTTGTTTTCAGGATTAATTAGGCTATTTTGCAGCAAAAGGTTGTCAATGCTTGGTGTTGTTTTCCTTTTCCTATCACACTTACCTTTGCACTTTGGGGAGACTGATCCAGTTTCATTGTGCACTTGAATGATCCTTGAAACACTTGACTTACCCATACCAAGAACTGCTGCAATATCCCGAACAGTCACTGAAGTGTGCTCTTTAAGAGCTATAACTTTTGCATGTTTCACTGGAGAAATATCCATTTTTTAAAACCACAAAATTTAAAAAGGTATCAACCTTGGGTCAATAAAATCACATATGCATGACCACTTGATCCCAAGTTTGTGGGACAGTGACCCTCACCCAATTAAACTCAGAGACCTCTGAAGGTAGAAGCAAAAGTCACACTCTATCACAATCCAGAGAAGGGGCATCTACTCCTCTGGTGCACAGTGCACTACCAGCAGGAGAGAGGCAAGGCACAGAAAGCAAAAGGAGATAATATACCCTAACATAAACAAACCCCTACCCACCTCTATCCCTTCTTCCCCTTGGCTGGGAGGTGGGCTTACAATCTAGGCTCGAAAATTGGTATAGCCAATCCAAACATACATGTCCTTATTCAGCAAACCTAATGCTGATGTGGCAGTGGTGTGGCAATGGGGGCGGGGGCGGCCCAGATCCCCATAAATTTAGGTAATTTCTAAGACACTGAAGCTTAGGGCCTGTTCGTTCTCTCAGAGCCTATCTCTACTTTCGAGACAGTCTCTTTATCATCATCCTGAGAAGTCTTCACAGAGGTTATATCTCACTCACAAGTAACACCACGAGCTGTTGAGACATGCTCTAAAATCCTCTCACCTAAAAAAATAAAAAGTATACATATATTTTTACCACCCCAACAATAAACACCAATAACATACATCAATTATGTTAAATTTAAGTTGTTTCCTGCATGGTTTGTCTCCTCAGTCACAGTCCAAAGACTCTGAGAAGGTTTAGGAATATGCAGGTGCAGACACAAAGCCCGGCTTGATATCCAACGTTGTGGAATGGGACTGTACATCTTAGGGCAAAGCCCTATGCTCCCTTTCGCCACCTGAACAGAGCCTGGGGAGTGACCCTCAGGATATTCACGTTGGAATGGATGACTTAAGACAAGTGAATCAACTTCAAAGCTAGCCCAAGCCCCTAGCAAGAAAAACAAAAACAAAAACAATGGCTCACCTCTGGTCTAGAAAGAAAACTGCAGGTGAAGAAGGTTCTGAAAAACAATAAATAATTTAGTCCTATCCCAGCCTCAAACTATATGTAACAATACTCTGGGGCAGTAAAATAGCACTGTTTCCTGCATGGTTTGTCTCCTCAGTCACAGTCCAAAGACGCTGAGAAGGTTTAGGAATATGCAGGTGCAGACACAAGGCCCAGCTTG